CACAAACAAAAAGCGAGTGATGAAATGTAAACAATATGCGCAGTGTTCATTTTTTGGGGGAATGATTTTGCACTTTTCAAAAATTTTGTTCGAAAAAATAAGTCAATGATGAAATGCGCGTGCTGAACACAAAAAGGAAAATTTAGAAAAAAAAACTTTTTAGAAAACTCATTTCGAATTTCCAATTATCATCAACATTTACTCGAATCACAATTAACCAATGGAATTTGTCACAAAATAATTTCAACGTGTTTATCTCCTTTGGAGAATGATTTTTCATTTTTTAGAAAATTTTACTCAAACAAATTGAAACTGAGTCGATGATGAAATGATAAACATCAAAAGGAAAATTAACAAAAACTTTTTTCGGGAAAACTTATCAAAAAACTTCTAATTAACAAACATTAAATTATTCGTATCACAATTAATTCGCAACAGAATAATCACACAAAATGAAATTCTTTATTTGATGCATAACATAAACAACAAGTTTCATTTCATCATGAGTCAGACAACGTGCTCACGCTGCAAAGTCAAGTTCACAATTGACAATTTCCTTTTCAACATGCGCTTTTCAACGCAACATGAGCTCTTTGGCCTTGTCATAAACGACGTTCAAAGTTGAAGAAGCAATTTCACATAGACTCAACACCATCTTCCTTCAAAGATACATTTAGCTGTATGGAGTATGGAGCATGGAGTTTCTCCAGAATTTTCTTGACTTGTCTACGACGTATTCAGTTAGCACAGACTAATGAAAATGAATAATTATGTTTATTAAAAAAAATTGGATTTTTATTGAAGAATACTTTTAAAATTTCAATAAAATAATGTTTAGTATTAGACAAAACAAAATAGATTGAATTGGGTAAAGTAAAATATTGTTCAGCATTCCACAAGTTGCAAATCTCGTTCCAAATCCGAATCATAGTCCGGTTCGGCGAGCGATACAACCTCAGAAACTGATAAAACATTTTGAAAGCATTCCTTGGCAAGATGTGGCAAAATTAATGGATGTAATCGTTTGGATAACTTGTCTAACCACGGTTGAGGTTGCCAATAGTTAATAAACATACGTTGTTCAAACGCTTGAGGATAATCCAATTGATCGATAAATCGATTGTTGGATGTAATTATAATAGGAATTCGTCGCAATGTTGTCCATTCGTTACGATATTTAATTTGTGAACCGCGACCTGCAAAAACGTTCTTGTATCTGCCCATTTGCGGTGGTTTGAATTTGAAATGTTCAACAACCCCCAAACTTCTGTTGAGCAAATCTTGACAATTAAAATTTGAATTGCCATCAACGTAACCAACATTCCAAACCAGTGTGAAGATTGTGGATAGGAAAAATTCTTTACCATCGCCAGCTTGGCCAATGATTGCCAATGTATTTCGTTTTAAGAATACCTTTCTCAAAACTGCATACACATGTTGAATAAATCTTTTAGCTTCTTTTTTTCTGCCATATTGACAGAGCAATAATGTCTTAGCGATTTCAATGCTAGTTGCTAAATCATAATACTTAGTGGGGCTAAAATTGTGTTTTGATCTAATTTGAATGATTTCATCAAGCGAACGTTCTTCCCATTCGATTTGGACACTTTGCCATGCTTGCTTAACACAACGGTTCACTTGGCCATTGCAAGGAATAATAATATCTTTGACAAGTTGTTTAAATTCCTCCAATCTATACAATTCCGAGATATTATCTGGCAAATGGGTTTCTATGCAAAACAAATCAATACAAACAAATTCAATTCAATAGTCAAATACCTATTATTTGTTTGATGTCATTTTCAAGTTGATTCTTCTGTTTCGGGGATAATCTAGGCATTGCTATTTATTTGCACTGCTTGTTGGCAAAAAGATTTTCAGCAACTAAATAATCTAAATCTAAACAACGATTTTTATTCAAAATTTCTTGACAATGCAAAACACCAGTGCAAGATGGCGAATGAAATGAATGCAATTATAGAAAATACTCATCAACAACATGGATTCTTCTTCATGAATCGAATTATGGAGCTATTGATGTGCCACTATCACTGATAAATATTACCAAAACCGGTTTGAGTGGTTTGCTGGAACATCACACCACTTTCAAATGAGAAAACGATGTGCCATCTCAAATCAAACCATTTGGCTTGTTCGTTGGTTTTCCAAATGAGTTGAATTGGATGGATCGTTGGTTTCGGTTTGCTTTGTTTTCCTGTGTTCTTGTCATTTTGCACAGAACTCAAGGTCGAATTGACCATAACCTAATCACGCTCCGCCCACTTGATTTTTAGTCTTTGATCAACTGTCATTCGGTCATTTTAGCATCAAGTGATCAAGTGTGATTGATGAGCAGAATGAAATATTAACAATCTCTAATTGAATAAAACATTTATCACTATAATTTATAATTTATTATCAAATTGATAGTATTTTCCAAAATCAAATTTCGTCAGCAAAGTACTCTAATCATTATCCGGAAAGAGAATCGGTTGCCAAAATCGACACCTCTCTAGATTGGAATTGATGGTTATGCGATATGGTTGATCGATAATCATTTGTTTCCATGCTTGTATGGTTCCATTCTCATCACCCAATAGCGTGTCGGTCGAACGAAACTCTGGCCATTCCAAACCATCCAAATGATTACCCGGTTGGCCGTTTTCTGCAAAATTGATCCATACTTTCATGATTTGTTGTGAGATTTTTCTATCATTGGATTTGAATATAATCTTATATAACATCGATATGGATGGATCAGACGCCAAACCAAACATGATTGGTATATCGGCGGCATGACAAGCACCCATCCAACGAAAACATAGCAATGCCATCATATAGGGCGAATAATGGTCAAAACGATATGAATATACTCGATTCACATTGGTCGCATTTCTGGCCAACATTCGGGCATATTGTTGAGTGAATAAATATGTTGGGCATATCATAATGCCATCGGATAATGTATCGACTATTGTTCGTCGCAATTCCATATTGGTCGGATGTTCTTGCAGGTTTTTTGTATAAAAATCAAAAATGTGACGAATAAACGATTCGGGTCCTTGCACTGCGAGCAATGATTTTTCGAACAAGTGTTTCATATCTTGGTAGGTAAACTTACGGAGACCATTCAATAATTGGGGCACAATATATGTTGTTATTGTTCCCAATTCGCCATATGTAAAACCACTGATCAGATCAACTGGGTTGAAAATTCCATTGGCCAGCATTCGGCTTGGTCGATCGGGCAACAAACCCGCATAATCGCCATACATAAGGAATATTTGCTTTCCTTCGAATATAGCGGGTAAATTGAATGATTCTGTTTTGAATGTCAGTTCTGCAATGCTTTTATTTTGCAAGCAATCAACCATTCGATCCATGTCATGCACTGGACAATCCATTTTTTTAGCAAAAGTCAATGAATTTTTCAGTGAATTCTGTGGCGAATATGCTAGATATTCATTTATCGAACCAGATCTCATTATGGCACGTCGAAAAAGGCCTCGGGCTAATGGTGACAAAATCATTGCCGATATACTCATCGATCCAGCTGATTGTCCAAATACGGTCACATTTGCTGGATCCCCACCAAAACGATCAATATTTTGTTGGATCCAACGCAATGACAATATCAAATCATGGACACCTTGATTACCCGGTGCACGATCATTGCCGGCATACAGAAACCCAAATGCACCCAAACGATATTGAACCGTGACGGCAATCAAATCACCCAGATCCGCTAAGCGACCGCCATCAAAAATGCTGGTGCCGAGCAAATTGATATTTCCCAATTGAAATCCTCCCCCATATAGGTAGACAATGACCGGTCTCAATTTGCAATTATAACCAGCAGTATGGGCTGGTTGCCATATATTCAAGTGAAGGCAATCTTCAATTTTCGATATAAACGGCAGACCTTGTGGACAACCACCACGGCTATAAGTTGCATCGTAAATATCGTGCCATGTGCGGGCCATTTGTGGCAACCCAAATCGTTGCATCACTTCGGCATAACGTATTGATTTGAAGAAATACAACTCTCGTTTGCCCAAACTTGACGCTTCAAGTCGACCACGAACACGTGCACCATTTCTCAACGATACGATCCGATACGGTGGTTTATCGCTATTTTTGCCACTACTGTCACCGTGTTGCATTGTTAACGATGGTGTTAGCATCGTCAAGAATAAGAGCAAATTGAAGATTATCTTCCAAACAAACATCATTATTTTCATCAGAAAGCGATGTGTATGTTGTTGATGACTGATCAATATGATCAATATGATGAATAGCTTTTATTGATCTAATCATCATCATTTCCAATTGCTATTTTTTCAGACAAATAATCACTTCCGTTTTGTTTTTGTTAAACAAACAAACAACCTCGACCTGGTTTTCCAATTGGGCATTATAATTTTTATTTTTATAAAATTAATAGATATTTTCAAAATTCGAGAAAAATGTTAAAAACATTAATAAAATCAATCACAAATCAATCACAAATGTTCATTTTGGTGATGTTGCTTCAGAACATCTTGCCGTTTAAATGTTGCATCACACTCGGAGCACTTGAAAGGACGTTTATCCGAGTGTCTTAGGCTATGACGTTCCAAAACATCTCGACGTTTGAATTTTTCCTTACAAACCGAGCATTTGAATGGACGTTTGTTGGAGTGACGCATACAATGACGTTGCAAATGATATTTAGTCTTGAATGTTGCATCACATCGACAACACGCGAATGATAGAGGCTTCTTAGCAGTGGTAGGGCTAATTACATCATCACCATTACCGTTGCTGATCAATCGACAAGATTCCGATTGGGATTGCAAGCAAGCAATCTTTTGCATTAATTCATTAATTTGTTCGTCTTTCATGGCATTCGATCTTCGGAGCGAATCTAAATTTGTTTCTGCTGCTTCCAGCATTCTTCGCACACCGAAAAGTTGTTCATTTTTTTCTGATATTTCCGATTTTAAACGAATCGATTCTTGTTTACAGGTTTTCAAACCATCATTTTCCAATTCCAATGTGAACAATTTGCATTCCAGTGTATCGATTTTATTTTGCAATTGAGACACATCATGTCGTGTCAATTCAGATTGGCAATCTTTACTTTGCATTTGGTCTAAATTTGCAAAAATCAAACGATAATTATCCAATCAAAAATCAATGCATTAATTATATTAACCTTTGAATTGTTGCCATAATGATGAATCATCTTGTTCGGTCTCCAAAATCAATTGCTTGAATGTTATGTTTGGATTGGAATTTTCAGGGATGGTTGAACAATTGCCAAACAATGATTGTCGTTGAGCCATTTCAAACACTAAATGGGTTTTGCAAAAAGTTGGCGGCAAAAATTCCAAAATCCACTCACTCAATAAACAAAATCGGGTAACGTTTCTTTTGAACGGTGCAAACATGTGCCCTGTGACCACACGTACGCGTACAGCCAACAACAACAACAGCCAATTGTTAACAACAATGTTGTATTCGATTCGATGAATGGCAGGCATTGGCACATTCCCCTCGAAAGTTCGGCTGGATCGGCTGATCGGCGCGAAGCATATAACACGCACACAACACACAACCGACCACTAAATCAAATAAAAAAGAACAAACCCAGTAACCAATCAGAAATAGTGAAGCCAAGTGCCGTTAAATAAATATGAATCAGAAAACAGTCACACTTTTCATTCTTCATTCATTCATTAGCCACCGAATTTCAGTTAGTCGATAATTTTGCACCTAATTCATCGAAAAGAGGTAAGTCCATTACAGTGTTGCCGAAAGAAAAAGCAACATCTTTTTTTCACACGATAATCAATCATGTTGATCATCAAGGAAAAGAATCCATTTTCCATGTGAATTTACATTGTATTGGTTCCTTTTATCATCACAATCTCCTTCAACAAATGTATCATGTTTCCCCATGTATAGAGAGAGAGAGAGAGAGAGAGAGTGCGTATCATATATAGCCATAGCCAAACTTGGATTCCCCAAAATATCATGATGATCTTCATAGATTCATAGATTCATTTGATTCACGCAAAATCTAACCGCAAAAAATCGCCTGATCTTCGGGTAGTGCACTATAGTGATACACCATAGTGTGATATTCATTACGGTAAGGCCTCCTTGACAACCATACGGTTAAGATCCGACCATACATACACATATACATTGATACGATTGATTCTGATCTATATACACCATCCATCCACACACATTATCCATTGATTCAGCAATAAACATGCAGCATGTTTGTTGTGTTTTTTTTTGGCAAGAATCCTCCATAATACTCAAGCCAGCATCATCATTTAAAATATGATAATCGTTTAGTGGTGGGTGCTGATGACGATATCGAATGTATCGAATGGAAAGAAAACCGGTTATAATTAAACTGTTATCATTAAAAGTGTGTGTGTGAATCAATGTCCACAACAAATCGCTAATTCGTAGAAAAATGCCAATTTTCCTCAATTCAATCAAGTTAATAGTTAAAGATAAATTCATCATCTAATCAAATCATATCCATTTCATTGATTTATTGATTGTAATTTAATTACTTTTTCGTTTTTGATAAGCCAGCCAACAACTCATCACTATCATCGTTTCACTTATTGCCAACCACCAATTACTATTACAACAACCAAATCAAACCGTTTGACCCTTCGAAATGGCATTAAACGTATTGATTGCAATCACCTTATCGGTGGCTACCATTTATTTTTATGTCAATCGAAAATCCCGTTCCAAATCTATTGAACAATTTCAACGTGTCTGCGGCAAATTCAACTATGATAAACAATCTCTCGAACAGAAAGTAAGTCTCCTGCAACGCGCAAACATTTCTCATCGGTTAATTTGTTTCGATAATAGACTTCACAGGGCGAAGTGATTCGTTATTCGAAGTTGATGCCCAAAGATGACCCATCACAGCTTAATTTCATCACCCATTATTACGATGCATGTCGTACCATGAACGATGTTCTGCCCAATGGGGCCAAACTTTCCAGTAAGTTGAAAACAAATCACTGCAAATCTTTACTAAACACGCATTTGATTTACCCAAGTCGATGGCAAATGTGTTGGTTCGATCAACAAAGCTCGAAACGGAGTTGATTGGCTGACCTACGAACAAGTTCTGGAGCGAAATAAACATTTTGGTGATGGTTTGCTTCATATCGGTCTGAAACCGAATAACACATTCGGTATCTATTCGATGAATACGCCGGAATATACCATAGCCGAGTATGCTTGTTATCGTCATTCGATAGTTGTCATACCGATCTATGAGACGTTGGGTTCCAATATTTGTGCTTTCATTGCTAAGCAGGCCGAATTGAGTACCATATTTTGTGATAATCTAGACCGTGTTGTCAATGTGCTTAACAATGCGAATGATTTTCAATATCTCAAAAACATTATCGTTTCCCATCATGATGATGAAAGCATTTCATCCGACGATAATCAACAACATTTGGAAACATTGAAATCGAAAGCTCAATCACTAGGTCTCACACGTATGTTTCTTTCTTTGTTCGGGTTCGATTGGCTGTTAATCTAATTAATTTACTCAAAGTTTATTCCATGAACGAATTGGAGCAGTTAGGTCAAGACAATGTCCAACAAGATCATCCACCTGGACCGAATGATTTAGCTGTAATATGCTATACCAGTGGAACTACGGATGCACCCAAAGGTGTAATGCTATCACACGAAAATGTTGTGGCCAATTTTTCGACAATCATGTTTCATCTGGACGAATACCACATAGCCAACACTGATACATTGATATCATATTTACCTTTGGGCCATATGTTTGAAAGAGTTTGTGAGGTATGTTTCAATCAATTGTTTTCAATATAATGTTTCCTTAAACGTAATCAACCCATTAGTCAGGTACATTGGCTGCTGGTGGCAAGATTGGTTATTTCAGCGGCGACATTAAACGTTTATCGGACGATATGAAAATCATCAAGCCAACATTCTTTCCCTGTATGTTTTCTTTCTTTCTCTCATTGCATTGAGCCTAACCAACTCTATATTCTATTTGTAAGGCGTTCCTCGAGTTCTTAACAAAATTTACAGCAAAATTCATGAAAATGTTAGTTCCAGTGCCATCAAATCATGGCTACTGAAAACAGCTTTCGAATCGAAACTTAATCAATATCAGAATGGAATATTCGACAACAATACATTTTGGGATATGCTCATTTTCAACAAAATTCGTGCGCTATTCGGTGGTCATGTCCGTCTTATACCGGTCGGTTCGGCTCCCATTAACGGCAAAGTTCTCAATTTTTTGCGTTGTGCACTCGGTTGCCATGTAAGTTGTGTGTGATTGTTGTGTTCAAAAATTCAAAAAAAAAAAATCAAATCCAAACAGATCTTGGAAGGATATGGCCAAACCGAATGCGTTTCGGCTGCCACCGTCACCACTGTCGGTCATTACGAGACTGATCACGTTGGCGTACCATTGAACGCTGCCTGCATCAAATTGGTCGATGTTCCCGACATGGATTATTTGGTATCACAGGGAAAAGGGGAAGTACTCATCAAAGGATCTATAGTTTTCAAAGGTTATTATAAAGATCCGAAAAAGACTCAGGCAACAATCGATCAAGATGGTTGGCTCTACACTGGCGATATTGGCAAATTCAACGAGGTTTGCAATGTTGCTAGTTTGATTATCATTTCATAATTGTGTCGTTTTTTCGGGCAGAATGGAACCATCAAAATAATCGATAGGAAAAAAGACATTTTCAAATTGGCTCAGGGCGAATATATTGCACCCAGCAAGATTGAAGACGTTTACATGCAGTCGCCATTCATTCAGCAAATATTCGTCTATGGTGATAGCTATAAATCCTGTTTGATTGCCATTGTTGTACCCAATCTGGCATTGATACAAGAAGTGTTCAAAACACGTGGTAAGATGATCGATTTCAACAACAACGACGAGTTAAGGGAAAACAAAGAAATCAAACAATTCGTTATGGAAGAGCTGCAGAAATGGAATGAAATTGCCAAACTAAAATCATTCGAAAAAGTTCGCGATATTCATATCTATCCGGAAGGATTCACCATTGAGGATGGATTACTTACCCCAACATTGAAAAACAGAGTAAGTGCTGAATGAGGCTTGAGCAATGATATTAACCAACACTATTTGTCCATTCTCTCCCCACACACAGCGATTTGCCTTAAAAAATCACTTTAAAACACAGATTGAACATCTTTACTCTAAACTTGAATGATTCGAGCATTTTACATTGAGATTTTTATGTTGCCATAAACCAGCATTGTTTGGTCGTTTTTTATGATTTTGTGGCAGAAGCAAAGACAAAAAGAGTGAGAGAGAGAGAGAGGAAGGGCGCCACATTTATTGCAAATGTCATAGATGCTTATTATTATAATTATATTTGAAATAATCATTCATTATTAGTTCTTAATTTGGTTAATAAATTGACAATTAACATTGACAAAAACATTTGTAGGCCTTCATACCGGATTCAGCCAGCGAGTGATATCGGCTGGTTGTCAATTGACTGGCCACAAAGTTTGCATTGTCGGCCACTTTCAGATCGAACCACCATCCGGGCAGATATCGACTCAGATTTTCGTCCACATTCTGGCATGCTGTCAATTTGGGTCTTGCATTACAGGCGGCCACATTGGAATCGCCAATATTCAACAGTTGCCGAAACAGACCTTGAAACGTGTCCAATAGGCCGGTTGCGCTTTGACGGTAAGCATGATGATTATTATAGCTGTAGAACATTCGCTCCACCAACGTTTCCGGCATGACTGCATTCACAAATTGTTGATCAATTCGTCGACGTCGTACGGCAGCGGCGGCCGCCGCCCCGCTCGAAATGAGGCCAAATTTTTCGGCCGTGCCTGTCATGTGTCGGGCGAAATCCATACAATTCATAAAATTGAAACTTGCCAATGAGGAAATGGCATCCGATGCCACCTCTGCTGCGTCTTGTGGCTGTGGTTGACCTTTTACAAATGTTGCCATCATCATTATCATTAAAATGAATTGGATCATCATTATCAACAATATCATTATGCTCAATCAAACCACTAATCATCAAATGACACTAAACCATCATCGATCAAGTCACGTATATTGATTGGTTGCCATCCATCCACGAAATACAAATTTTGAAAAGTTTTTTTTTGTTGTTTATTCAAATCATAAACAGAATGCAATAGGATTATTTTTGGAAAAAATTATTCATTACCTGTGTATAAAATCATCATGCCATATTAATCATTCGTTTGTTTTCATCAAATGGGATGATTTTGCGAAAGAAAGTGAAAAAAATATCTTACATTAACTAAATAAATATATTCTATGTGGTGTGTAGGGAAGCAATTGGAAAGCTATAGACGATACTAATCAATGATGAGTGTTGTCAACAAATACCGGTCTCCATTCATTGTTGGTTTGCATGTTTGGGGATGACGATTGTTTTGGTTGTGGTTGTTGTGAGTAGGCATTATCGGATGGTTTGTCACGTACGTCATGGAAGGCATGATAATGTCGATATGATCGCATCATTCGATGTGTTTGATTATTGTTTGACACTGTGTCATGCTCATCATTCAGTGCTAGCAAATCATTCGTTTTCACCACTTCGGTCGAATTCAGTTTGACGGCATATTCACTGTATTTGTTTGTTGAATTATCCTGTCGTTTGGTGGTGATGGCCATCGATGGTTTCGATGATGGTCGCATCATTAATGGCCCGATTCGATGTTTTAGCACGGGAATCTGTGTCTGAAACGGTGTGGCCATCAGTGGACCATGATATGATAATGGTGTTGATATGGCCGAAAATGGAATTCGTACCGGGTACAGCGAACTGGCTGCAGTGACCAACGAATTGAATGGTGATTGATGACCATATGAACGATAGGGCATGGTGGCTGCGGTGGTTGGATGATAGCCACCACTGGTGTAAGGTGCCATGTATGGCAATGATCGATACCGCTGCATGTAGAATTGGTTGATTGGAGGAAAGAATGGTATTGTCATTGGCCGTATCATACTGCCGGCAGTTGCCATCATGGAATTGGCTCGATGCGGATAATTGTATAGAGGATTCAATCCCGGATAATAACCTAATGCTGGCCACGATGTTGGACGTACTGCTGTACCAGCGTTCATCAAGGGCGATGTTGAAATGGGATAAAAGTGCGAATGAGCGGCCAATGTTGCCGGTGTCTCGGTCGCACGCATAAACGGCATATATTCATTAGCGGTAGTGGGATTCAACAAGGAATTGGCTGCCGAATAATGGTTTGGAAAGTTTCGCAGACGAGTCATTGGTTTGACATTGGGCCCAAAAAAAGCCGGATACCAATTATCCATATCAGCATCCGACATGGATAATGGTCGATTTCGGATGAATGAAGATGTCGGAGCAGATCGAAAATTGGTAGGAAAAGGAGGTCGACGCATGTTGCTGGCTGCAAACACATTGTTGTTATTGTTACGATTATGATTGTGACTATTGTGATTGATATGGTGATGGTGATGATTTGGATAGAAATCATTGTTTGTCGATTGTTCACCATAATCTTCATAGGGTTGGGAATTGGAGCCGGAATGTTGCCATCCATTATTGGCAGCCATATCATTAGCCATGATATGATCGTTGTGCTGACCACTATTATTATTGTCACTATCCAAGATTGATCCATCGTTGGCCATTTTGGTATCCTGATCCGGATCAACATTGATGCCATCATGATCCTCACCAGAATTATCAAAATCAGCATATTGATCACGTTGTGATGGTGGTTTCACTCGATTACCGTATGATGTTTGTGCCGATGTATAAAGGTCATTGGGATAGACATTTTGCTGTCCGCTTGGTGAACTAGCCATTCGATTGGAATGATAATCCGATTTCAATGTGGATGCCGAAGGCGACAGAATCTGATTGGTGGTTTGCATTGGCGATGATGATCCACCCATATCTTGCGTTCGAATAAATACCGGTTGCTGTAGAAATAGACTTGAGCTCAATGGTGGTGGTGCAAACGATGACCAAGTATTCTGAGGCAAATACCACGAACTTGGCAATGGTATCGACGATATATTATGTTTGGGTGTGCTGAAATCAATCGAATCACCGGGCGATGATGATAGTCCCAACAATTTGGATGGCTTAATATCGTTCAATAGTTTGGGAAAAGATTTGAATGCTCGAGTCGCTTTTTCGGCACTGGTCGAAACCAATTCGCCAATTCGACGTCCCAATCCGATTGTTTTGTTCTTATTGTTGTTGTTGTTGATGTTGGTCATACCGTTTTTCATGTTGATCATCATCGGGTTTGATTGATAATTTGGAGACGACAACAGATTGCCTAAGTCAACCGGATACAACGAACCAGTAGCTGCGGATGGTGGAAGATAATAATTGGAATAGAATGGTAATGCATAATCACCACCATTATCCATAAAGTTACTATTGTTATCCATCAATAGGTTATCGTGAGGGGCGAAATTTTGTCCATGTTGATTGATCGATTGACTGGACAAGGAATTATCAAGCATAGGCGGAGTTATCGTCGAAGATATCAATGACGATGATGGTGTGGTGATGGTCGTATTCATTGTGGTAATGGATGGATTCTGAGATCGTTTCTGTTTGTTGTTCATCATCATCGATGGTGGATTCGATGTGACAACCGCCGAATCAACGGCTGCAGCGATGGCAGCAGCGACAATACTGTTCAAATCACTTGCCGATTCAATTAGGTCATCATTGGAATGTTGATGCTTTTTCTGGTTCGACAACGGTATGCTAGAATGATGAGAATGATGAAATGGAATCATCGAAGATGCACTCAATGATCGTGGCTCATGATGATTATGATTATGATTGTGGTAATTATGGTTATTCGAAGACGAAGAAGATGAACATTTTCTATCGGCTAATGTAGTGCCACAACAGCAGCATAACACCACCATCAACACGGCCATCAGGGTGCACATTGTGGTGGATATAACGGATGTGCCACGATTATGATGTGCCATTATATTATCTAGCTATATTGTCAATAAATGAATAGAAAAAGAATCATTATCATCAAGGCTAATGGTAACAACATGCATATTGATTCATGTTGAATTGAATGCAACTTGCATTATTCGCAGAACATGAATGAATGAGATAAACATTACTATTAACACCTTAATGGTCATGAAAATGATGATCATCATCTTTCCTATATAGCGAATAACAATCGTGATTGTTGTGTTGATTTGTTTGATTCTTTCACACAACCTGCCAGTCCATTTGATTTCATTAGTTGATCATCATCAACAATCGACTGCCAAACAAAGGCTATCGTTTTCAAAACAACCAGAGACGATTGACGAATCACGCTCCACATTGAATCAATCATTCACTTTGGTTGGATAAGGCAAAATATGTAATTTGTTTGAATGAAAGGGGATTGTATTACCAGGATTTATTTTTAGCAAAAGATATGAAAGCCATTCACTCATTCATTCATTTGTCAATGGAAACCAACACAATGGACAAATCGATATGCATGGTTGTCTCGCCATTCATTGGATTGTCCATGCTGAATGAATGTCATCATCATGATAATCGAATCAAACTTGGATGGTAAGCATTTTCTTGTCAATCTGTCACAAGACCATAATATCCGATGAGAATATCGGCAATTCGAGCAAAAAAACTTGGCAAATCGTCCAAATTTGACCAACCGTGATGGTTGTTGGAAAACATTTTGCCATGAGGATGACAATCTAATCATAATCATCATGATAGTGGTAAATGGTCTCAATCAACCAACCGGCACCTGATTCCATGACAAATGGTCAGTTTGGATAATCATTAACTGGACAATGAGAGCATGAATCTCCAATGCGATGACCTCAGCAATACCATCATCATCATCATCCTAAAATAGACTTTTTCACTTTGTTTGACACATTCGAAAGTGTCGAAATAGTGGAAGATTCGAAAATTAAAGCCAAACTCAAATGAACTTTAACTCAACATTGTATCGATTTTTGACTGATTTGAATCAATTACACGGATCGTTCACAATGACGATCATCGTCATCGTAGATGATCATCGTCGTTCAACCGTGTAAAACAAGTGACAAACCGTTTTTCGTTGGAGATTAGACAGCAACACTTCTCTCTCTCTATCTCTCAAGTACCATCCTCCGTTCACAATCCTGTTGTGTCGCTCGCCTAAATAGCGTGTGACGACAATCAACCAACCAACCTCCCGAATAAAAATCGGTAATCGTCGTCGATCTTTAAGGTCAATTGACAAAAAAACTGCACTGCATTCAATTGCCATTTCTTTCATCCTTTTTTTATCCATTCACAATTGATTCATTCATCTGATATAACCTTGATCATCATCATCATCATCATTAAGTGTGATAAAATGAGGACAAATGGCAATTAATAATACGGTTTTCTATTGTCACACTGTCATGTTTACAATCTTCAATCAATCGGCCAAACCAATTCTCATCGCAATGATGATAGACAATACTAATGATACAATGCCCAAACCAAACAAATAAATAATCCCACAGGATATATGTTTGCTTACCTTGTTGTTTGCCCAATGTCCGCTTTTTCTCAGTTCGATGTTTCACCAGTTAAATTGTTAAACAAAAAAATTGTTGATATAAGATCAGGTCAGAGAAGATTCAAATGCAAGGATTCACTTAATGACGATATGATATGTTATTCCTGATCATCATCATCATCATTACACAAACAAACAAACTCAGCACAGCACAGTGATGCTGATGACAATCAACCGATCTTACAATTCGAACCTTTTCGAATGACGACCAAATCGTTTTTGGCATTCCAATCTGGGTCTGGTTATTCGATTCACAGAACAAACTTCAAAAAACCAAAAAGAGCCAGAAATAATACTCTTTTGAATACTCTAGTATTGCTTGCGAAAACCGAGAGAGAAGAAATATTCAATAAGAATAGAGCATTATATAACCAAATAACAAGACAAAGACAACTAGCAAGGCAAGATAGCATTGTCACTGACTGCCTTACAAACGAAAATCATATTTTGCTATTAATATTATTTATCACTTATCAATCTCACCATTTTCTGCTTCATCATGTCCATTGATTGATTCATTCTTAAATATTGAATCTAATGATGATGACATTAGGTCATGAATATGATGATCATCCCTTATTATTCCCATTAATCTCATGTGACCATCATAATTCTTATCGGATAACGGATGAATGATCACCATCATCCTTATCCTTATCCTCATTTGACTTTGCCAAAAATTATCAGCACGCGATTGCCATAATAGACAATGGAATCACCCATCCGTCATAATTACTGATTCAAGATTTGCGGATAATTAATCCGACCCAACAGCAGCCTAATCAATCGCGCGAATCATTCTTCATTCACCATTCATCTCACCGTTATTAAGGTTATCGTTCGAATGAATGTCAGGCAAACAAACAAACAAACAAACCAGTGACATAATTAAAACAACATTGTCATCATCACATCCGACCATTTCCACATGATCAATAAATCACTTAATCGTTTAGCAGGATTGATAAAAAATACATTTATTTATTTTACTTCAAACATATCAATTACAGCCAGCCAGCAAATCAGTTATTTAGTTCGACCTCATTGAACACTGATCAATTCTCAAAAGATAACAAATCAACCTGATCTACATTGATAAATCAGATCAACAACAACAACACCATCAAAAACGAATTAATAGGCTTTTTGAGTTTTGAGAAAGAAAGAAAAAAATTCGTTACAAATGATTTGCTTTTCACAAAAGAGGTTATTGATTTGACATAAATTCCTGAGCATTCATCATTTGAATCTGTAATTTGGCCAATTGATCGGCCAATTCCAAACAAACAGGTATATCATTCACGAAAAACGAGTCAACACTATAATGACATAAACTGAAACAGAATTCGGCCAAAACCCAACCCGGTAATTGCATCTGATCCCATATCACATGATATTTGGTTGGTCGTAATAGTTTCAGTCCATAGTTGGAATTGTCAGCAAACAGGCAAAACGATCGATAGCCAATCATCAAATATTGCTTGAATGGAGCTTCGGCCATTGTACCGTACAGCGAACGAGCATCACTCGCTATAATGCATTCGCGTGGTTTCTTTTCCACAAGCAGACAAGTTAGTTTGCATGTTAGTTGCAATTTGGCCATTGTACTCTGAATCATCTCGATCATAGCATTGAGATAGACATTCGAATGAACCTTTTCGAATGGCAACAGATTTCGAAACAAAAATATAAAATCAGGATATTGGCCATTCAATTGCTTGTATTGTTCAAGTGCTTCTTCCAAATGTTCCGGTGTGAAACGATTCAATTTGACGCATTTTTTCATTTGCTCATCCAACGAAATCCAAAAACTGGTGGCCGATTTTTGACCTTGTTTTCGGTGATAACAACCAATCAGCATTGTGCGTCCAATGTCGAACGACGGACAACAGGGCTGGATAATTTGATTGAGGTGATTGCGATCCACAACGTTCACCAATCCATCGAACGTACGGCAAAGTCGGATCAATAATCGATCGATCGATGAATTCGATTGAGAATGCTGACCATCATCATCATCGAGAAACTCGAACGAAGCATAATTGAAACTGATGAAAGCATTTTTTCGGGCCAAATATGCCGACAAATCAAATACTGTTTGAGCTTTGTGGCCATTAGCCAATTTGATGTCTAAACACAGGGAAAAAACAACAAAATGATTAATCAAATCTCATCCACAATCCTTTCGCTAGTGAATCCACGTTACGGTTGCCTGGTTTGCGAAAAATTCACAGCACACAAAAAATTAATGCTAACATACCTTGATTGATCAATACTATGGCCAATTGTATCTGATGATCAGTGGCCAATTGAGAAAAATGGCAACCCATTTGCTCGAGTGAATCGATTCGAATCGATTGACATTCAACACAATTCTCTTTCCTCAATGCTCGAATTCCATATTGTTCAGCTTTTCCAATAATCCGATCTCTTAATGATTGCAATTCATCTTTCTCGAATCGTTTTTCGTTCAATGAAATTATCGACCATCTGACGGGTTCGAAATTCGTATCGTAGAATGGTTGCAAACTATCACCACCATCGTCGCATTTTTTCGCTGGCAACAATGACGGCATCGGCAAAATTTTGGCCTCGAATTCGATTGGATTCAAATCGACGACAATATCCTTATAGCGAATCGATTGGGCCAACTTTGTAGCATAGTTTCGTATCCTTTCAAAACATTTATCGGCCGGCACACTGGCCTGATGACGTAATATATCTCGATATGTATGCGACAGTTTGTTGTAAATAATCAAATTGAATCCGGCATCCAAACAATACAATTTGGCGTTGATGTTCAACAGAAATGGTTGCGAACCATCTTTCCGATAGGGTCGACATATTTCCATGCTGAAACCAAAAACAATCTGGAAAAAATGATCCGAATTTTCCGATTCGTTCACATAGACGATATCGTTTTTGTCAATGAATTTACCCTTTCGACATAGAAATTCTCGTTTCAGATGTTGATTCACTGTACTGAGCAAAAGACGCTCGGAAATTGGATTCGCTGCGAATGAAATGGCAAAATAATTGGATAGTAAAACGAAATCCATTTTCTCAATTCAGCTAATAACACAACAAACGAGCAAACGGAAAAACCGCATTCGAAAATCAATTTCAACTCAAACGGTTCGCCAAATCCAAACACAATTGGACCGTTCACATAGAAGAGGACTTTTTTTTGGTTGAAAAATTATTATTCACAGTTCAATCCGATTACCGGTTATCAAAGTAGAAGTAAGATTAGCGGATCGATTTTTTGCCGTATGACAAACATCGAGCTCATGACATATTAATAGGGCAACATTTTTGGCACCAATCAAACTCATTTCGATAGCACTGGCCGCCCATTCGATTGCATTCAAATAATAGATGCCGGCACGCAAACGAAACGGTGGTAATGGTTGTCCAACCGAACGATAATCCGGGTATGCTAGCCAATTAATCTCCTGAATATCGTCGATTTGATCGAACAAAGCATATAGTTCATGATGATCTAATCGTCGATTGCTAAACACCTTGTGGACATTGCTTTCAGAGGATTGTTGTGGTTGCTCATTATCCTTGTTATTCGATCGTCGTGGTCCCACATTATGAACGGGCATCAATTTGGATAACGAAGTGAAAAACGATCCACCATGTTGGCCATCAATATCACAGCTTAATATGGAAAGATCTTTATATTTGTCCAACACTTGTCCTTTGACAAATGTGGCCACTGTTCGATGCATATGATACTTATTGAATATATCATTGATCAATTCATTTCGTTTGGTCAGATTATTAAATCGAATCGAATTAGTTTGACTTGACAATGGTGTGGCAATCACCACATAATCATAGATATCGGATCGATTGGTCAACGAATCGGTTCGTTTAGAATCGATTTGATATCGATGATCTCCCAAATAATTGATATTCATCACTTCGGTGTTGAGCAACAATCGAGCTTTGGAAAAATGTGCCAAATGCAGTGGCAACAGTTTATTACCACCTTCAATCGAATACAGTTGACTACCGGCTCCAGCAAATGAAACCAAACCAACCAATGCCGGTATCGATATAGTTTGGCCATAATTGACCAATGTTATTGATTGTACTATTTGTTCGATAAATTCGTCCGATAATCGATATTCAGATTGCAGAAGATGTTTATATGATGTTCGTGTCAAATTATAGATCAACGAATCCATTGCCGTCAGTAGATCACTCAATTGCTCATAAGCATAATGTTCATTTTGCAATTGATAAATCCTGAATCGAATCCAAATCACAGTCAATCAAATGTTTTGATCATTCAAAAAAATTTACCTTTCGAAATAATCAATCACTTTGTTTACTTCTTTTTGCAGGCGAATTAGATCCAAACCATATGAGCGAAATAATCGAATCATTGTTATGATTTCCCACGAACTTTCACAGAATACAAATCGTTCGCCATTGAAAATGCATAAACGATCATCATCCGATCCAATTTCTCGTCGTTTCAGACCTACAAAAAGAAAGAAAGGGATTACAATTGCAATGTTTTTTCATCACCGCAATCAATACCGAATTTGGCCATCAAATGGGCAACATATTGATTGCGTTCATGAATGATTGAACCACCAGCTTCGTAATGATCTCGATCAACATTGACTGTATGCAAGCGGCCACCAAGACGATAATTTTTTTCATAAATAGTTATCTCGTGTTGTTGTTTCGAGAGCAGTTCATCGAGGAAATATGCTGCAGCCGTACCACCAACTCCGCCACCAATGATTGCTATAATCATCGACAACAATCATTACTGTCATCATCATCAAAACATTTACAACCAAAACACTTACCGATTCGAATGGATCGTTCTTTTTCTTCTTTTCGCTGTTGTTGTTGTGGTCGATATTTGTCATCCTGGTTGAGCAATATTGATTGATCTAAATTATCCTCAATTTCAATGGAATTTTCATCAGCTCTCGATTGGTCGAATAATATTGATTGCAACGATAGCAGCAACAAAGCTACAACAATAAAATTGGCTTTCATCTGGCCCATCTACAAACAAACATTTGGCTCGTTAGTGAATGAAAAAATGAAAAACGCATTTTCCCCACTAATTCAATCCGGGTATACGGTATACCACTGTATTGTTTTGGTCACATTTATTTGAGACGTCATCATTAGAGGACGGACCCCTTCAACCCGCCATCAAGATCCATTTGTTGAAAGGAAAAAAAATAATGAAAAATTGGTGGCAGAGGTGGGATTCGAACCCACGCCCCCGAAGAGACTGGTGTATCAAACACTTAATGCAATGAACATAATCATCATCAACATCCTTAAACCAGCGCCTTAGACCGCTCGGCCACTCTACCTAATTGCAAAGAATTGCCCCTACAAACGTTGATAAACAAACAGAACGAAAAAGACCTTGCACTTGTCAACCAACATCAGTTGGACATGATTCCCAATGAATCAATATGAATGGATCGATATTGATTGACTGTGAACATGATCACAAACGTAACGACGTCTAATGATAGTGTTGTTGATGCATGTGATCAGTGTTTATCAATGAAAAGGCGCAGTAGCCTGAAGAATGATGATGTGATCGAATCCTGATTCGGATTATATAGAGCCAAAGAGAGAAAGAGAGATTTGCAAAGCCAAAACATCCTTCGTTCGCACATCAATCATCAAATTCAGACAAACATGATGATTGTGTGGACTGTGATTCTGATGATATTATCATCCATCATTCATTCATCCTTGTCATCCAATTCATTCAACATTACCGATGATCTTATCAACAACAACAACAGTCCAATCAATTGGCTTTGTTGGGATCGATTATTCAATCATCAGTCCAATGGATTGTCCAATTGCAACTGTTTTATCAACATCACCTGTACTACCAATCATAATCCACTAGTCAATAACGATCAATTCCTGATTTGGTTACGATGCTATAATCTGAAAAGCGAGCATGATTCCAACCTGTTGAATCAATTTCATCAAATTCTACCGCAAAATGTGATCGAATTGACGGGCAAAGATTCCAATCAATGTATATCACCACAACAACCAAACAATCTAGCACTGCGTACTGATTTTATTGAATGTGATGAGAATATTGTCATCCCATTTCTCGATCAACTTCAAACAAACACTCAAACAAATCAACAACATTACAAACTCGAATCATTGACAATCAAACAATCCGGTTTGACTGAAATCAACAATGATTTGGCCAAACATTTCGGTAAATCACTTCGCATGCTTAATTTGATGGGAAACCAATTGACAACATTCGATACTAACTACATGACCACCATCATCAACTTTACCAATACTCAATTGACCGAAATCGATTTGAGCAACAACCGACTGAGCCGGATAAATTTGAGTCAATTTAGATCATTACGATCAATCAATATCTCGCAAAATAATCTGTCCACACTATCACCGTCAGATCTGAATAGGGCAATGATTGATTCGTTGGAAAAGATGGACAATGAAAAAGCATTGCTCGATCTAAGCATCGGGAACAATCCATGGAATTGTGATCAACGAATCGATTGGCTAGTCGATTTGATATCGGAGATTGTTGAAAAGAATGGTCGTTTATATTTTTTCGAATCGAGTGATGGCAATTCGGTCAAGGACAAAAATCGTGTCGATTTGTTTCGAACCAATGAACCGGAATGTAATCAACCTGACCGGGCCAAAATGTTTCCCTTTTCCGTATGGAAATCGGTAAAAGAATCGGATATTTGTCAAACATGTAGCTGCTGTCTTACCAACAAACATGCTAAAGCTGGTTATCGATATTTATCGGTTAATTGTTCGGGTCGCAATCTGGAGTCATTACCGAATCGTTTGCCTAAAAATACCAAAGTTCTAGATCTATCGGGCAATCGAATTCGAAATCTAAATCCACTGAGTAAATATCATCACGGTGAACTGTCGAAATGGGCACAATTGAGTCGAATCATATTGAGCAACAATTTGCTGGAATCATTGGATGGTCTGGAATCAATACGTTCCATCATATACCTTGATATATCGGGCAATCTGCTAACCGAAATCCCCTATCATATCGTCAACAAAGTTTTATCAAGCAAAAAAATGGATAAATTACAAATCGGCAACAACCCTTATGTTTGTGATTGCAATACGGTTAAATTTCAGAAATGGTTGCATAATTATTATCGCATAATCATGGATATTGAACAAATTCGTTGTGGCGAATTACGGCCAGAATTATTGCACAATGAATCCTTGTTCAATGCGGGTAGTGGCGGTTCAATGATCGAACAGGCTCGTCAAAGTGGATTCCTTCACAAGGAAATACTTGAGATAAATAGTCTACATTTATGTCCCATTGCCGATACAGTGATCGATGCTTTAGATTTGATCAATATTATACTGGCCATATCCATTCTACTGTTGATCATTAAAGTTACCTATGATTATCTCTGGCAAAAACGTACAGGAAAATTACCACGATTCTTCAAACTAAACATATGACAATCTTTACATCAATATCAAATCCTTTTTTGGAAAATTTTGCAAAATTAAAAATCATAATATTCATTACAGTTCTGTTTTTGTGTTGGGCTGTTCGGTTAAACATGCGGCTTGATCACCGCGAGCATTGTGCTGCAACATTCGATTCTGGCATAAATATTGCAACAATGATTGTTGTTGTTGATGATGATAATACCATTGTTCGATATCTGATTCATATTTTTCCATCATATCCTCACACTGTGTTTTCAGATTGGTTATTTCTGCCGATGGTTTATCCCAAAGATCGTATGGAATGCCCAGATCAACTTTAACTCCTTTGTCGACCAGACCATGGAGTGTTTGGAATGTGGAACTCATACCTTTCGCAAACCGACTGCTATCTTTTCGTTCTTTGTGAATGTTGTATTGAAGCATTACATCACATATTCCGTCCATTGATTCAATCAATCGAAGTTCACTAAAGTGTCACCAATTAGAAAATAATAATCATTATTATCATTCAATACTTACGATGCTTTGTACTGTTTTCGGGCACGTTTATCATCGTCGAATGTATAACCAGTCTCGATCACATCATGAGATTTGCCTGTTGCATGGAACCGATTCTCCAATTCGGTGGCAACAATTTTACATACTTCACACGGTGTTGCATATCGAACACCATAATTTTCTTCTTCAAAATTCTTATCATTCGTATCGGCTGAATCGATCAACAACGACCATACAGCCACTAACAGGATCGAAATAGATACGTGCCACATCTGATAAGAAATCATTGAGAAAAAGAAAGAAAGAAACATTAGAATTGTATCACATTTTATTTCAATGAATCCAATGCCAAAGTTGGCTAGATTTATTATTATTATTATGATTCCATTCACATTGAGTGAATAAAAGACCTTGATCGGGCCAGTAATCCAGACATTTGGATGATAATGTTGATAATTGTTGTTGTTTGCGATTATAATGCCATGATGTGGATAATTTATGTTGACAATCATCCATCACAATTTGTTTGCTATCCAATTTCGGTATCAAACATTTATTGCCATAAAATAGGCGGCCTTCTCCATTTAAGCGAAATGTTCGGGCACGAGGTTTCTCCCAGCAATAACAACTAACCATAGATCGATATTTATTTGGAGTTGTCTTTGGTTCGGGAGCTAAACAAACAGCATATTCTATGTTAGCTAATTGACCATAAGCAACATTCGGTGATGATAGTTGCCTACGAAATGTTTGCATCACAATCATATCATTTTTCAAAGTAATTCGTTCTCGAGCTTTTGGTGGTGGTCGACCCGAACAAATGACAGCATCAATGTTGAATAAAGGAATTGATTGACAATCAAAATCTTTCAACATTGGGTGATGAACATAGAATGTTTGCCATAATAGGGATGGATCCAAAAATTCGTTAGCGAATTGTTTGAGAAGACAATCCGGTTCGTATCGATATTGAAATGCCTGATGTGTTCGATCCAATATTTCTCCCATTGGGTGATGGGCCAACGGTTTTTTCAATTGATAAATCACCGAACATGGTATGCGCAAAATACGACCACCACATTTGCGTAGCTTATAAGTATAATCCCATATAATATTCCCGGCATTTGGATTGACAACATAATCCGAATCGAATAAATCTATTTCCAGAGCATATTCAACATCAATGGCAAAATAAACCTGACTCAAAAGATCAACTTGGCGTGGTAATGTTGGCATTGTTAGGTTTTTGTTCCATTCAGCCACAAATATATCATCATTTGATTGATCTAATGCAACTTTATCAATATCCAGTCCACCATTCCAATACAGTGTGGATTGTGGTTCGATAGAAAAGTGAAAATCTATTTCACTAATATGGCCAATATTGGGCATGGTTATTGTATGTTTATTGCCAACGATAGGTGCGATTAATGGAATCAACCAATTGGCCGATACTTCTGTGTGAGAGGTAAGAAAAACCATTACATCACCCGTAACTTGATGCATTATGTTTCGTATTGAATGTGACCAACCGTAACGTTCTTGTGTTTTAAATATTCGAATTTTGTCAATCTTTTCGCCAAACAACAGTGGCAAATAATCTAAACATGATTCGCTCATAAAACTTCGATATATTTCCAAATTTTCAAGAAAATTTGGATAATATTTGTTTGAATAGATTTCTGATTCTAAATGCGAAATGGTTTTATTGGCAAATTGATTTTGACCATCGGCTACTATGATTATCTCTTTCAGCAAAGATCGTGGACTGTTCAGCAGAACCGAAAATATTGTGCGAGTCAAAACAATAGGATCTTCGTCATGAAACGGAATAATGACGCTCACATTGGGCATGGCACGTGGATCATAATGCCAATGACGACATTTTGATGGCCGATTATCCGGAGCACGACGATCATTCGGAACATTTTGATTAGCTTTTCCGTTAACACCAAATTCATTCAATTTTGGACTGTTCAACCAGGTCAACTGTTGATAGATACTGTACGATAATTTACCATATTTTGATTGTTCCATTCGGCTTAAATCGGTCCATTCGTAAAGATTTTCCCGATATTCAGAATAGAATATTGTTCGTTGAGATTGCATGACAAATCTTAATGAGTATTCAACATTAGTCACAGCTTCATCAACCGGCACTGGAGTTACCACTGATGATGTATGATTCACAACCATCAGCCATACCAAAGCAACAACAACAACAATCATATCAATCATTGTCATTACCAGCAATCTATCATTCAAATAATCAAATAATTTTACTTACTAACCTCAAGTCTCCAACAACTTGGTTGAAAAAAAATTCGAAATTCTCGAACAGAAATATTGCATGGAAAATTCCCGAAAAAAGTAAAACAACAAAATTGTGTCAGTGGGGAAATATTTTCGGAAAATTTATTCTTCACAAATAACAAATTTTGAAATTTAGGATATTTACATAAAACAAACCAAAATGATAATCAAACATAAACGTGATTTGGATCTTCGTCATTCGAAAAAAGTACTTCATCATCGTGATCATCATCATCATCATCATCATCATCGGCAATCGAATTCCAGAATGCGATGGCCATTTGCTGGGCATATCGTTTACGCTCTTCATCATTTTCCATTTTCGATGCTTTCTCTGTGACAACAAAACAAAACACAAAGTAAATCAATGAATGCAGAGAATACGATTCAAAACCTTTTATATGAGTCAATTTGGAAAACATGCTTTCGAATTTATCAGCTTCATGTTCGGTGATTTGTGCGTTCACGTCATTACCACCAGGTTTGGGATCAAACGAAGAACTGGATGGTACGGCCATATCATTTGCTGATGTCGATGATGGCTGATGACTAAGATCTTTGTCATTCGTATCAGCACAATTCAATCTATTGATCTGCGTGATAAGCGTATCGTTTGATGATATTTTGTGTGACGAGGAATGTTTCTCTGTTCCCAATCAAACAAGCAAATGTATCAAAGATTGACATTTACAAGGATATCATACCTTTATAGTTAAGATTAGGCCAGACATATGCCTGGATAGCTTTGTATAATCGTTCGAAGCTATCCTGTTCGCCAAATTCATCATCATCATCATCAATTGAATGGTCGGCTGTCAGTTCAATCAATTCGAATCCTTTATCGATGCAGTAGTTTTGAATATCGATACGTGGAACCGAACCATGTTCGTTGGCCTTTTCACAGGAAAGAATTTTGATTGCACAATTTTCCATCAGATCAATATATTCGGTCCATTTGTTTAGATTTTCCAAGCAATGTTCGTCATTGCTGTCCAAATAGATGAGAATGCCGTGTATGTAATCATAAAATCGTTCGGGAAATTCGGTCGGTTCACTCAATTCGACTAGATAGATTTGTGTTGTATAATACTTGTTGTCCAACATGGCGCAATGACATCGAATAGGTTCGATTTGTTTCGTCACCGGATCCAGATAATCCTGATCAAAACGTAAAGTTTTCTCACCATTCTCCAGAACCGGTTGAAATTCCAGATTGGATTTGTTTTTTGAATTTTCAATGATTCCTTTTGGGAAACAAAAACATTAATCATCAACGACATTCAATCATTTGCCCATTTCATACTTTTGAGCCATTCCAACGATGACAATTTGTCGCTAGAACTGACAACCAGAATACCTTGAAATAGATTTTCATCCAGACGACTGAATACTAACGAATCGTGCATTTCGTTCGTTCATTTGTCAGATTAATTAATCAATCAAACATCCAAATCAAAATCATATAAAATATATCGATCAGTTTGGTTCATCAAACAAAACTAAAACATCCACTCTTCCACCACCTGACAAGCGCATTAACAATATCTAATTGACAACATTACGGTGCCATCTGTATTTTGCTTGTGAAACCATACCAATTTACATTTAATAGTTTTGATTTGTTTTTCAAATCACCGAGAATTGAACACACACATTGAACAAATAATAATGGTAATTAAATTTTTTTTCTTTGCAAAATCATACTGTACACATACGACACAAACGCATATTGATCGGACAAGGCACATTTGGAAAGAGAAAGATGAATGCGTGTGTGTCGTCATTGATTGCTACAAATAAAATCAAACAAGCAATTTTAGCAAAATGATGATCCACGATATGACCCATGCAAACAATTCCATCATTTGATTTTCATGTTGGCCAAAGAAGATTCGATTGACTAATAAAAAAAGAATTAAATCAATGATATCAATATCGGATTATACCTTGAGATCCCAGATGACCATTTTACCATCAACGCCAACCGTCGAGACTTGTTCGGTTTTTCTGGATTTCGAATCAAAATCCGAATAAAGTCTAACCTCAAGTATGGTGTTCTGATGGACGGTATCGAGCATGGTATTCGAAACGGTATTCTCGACCAATGCACGTTTGTCCATATCACGAAATTTTCTCATTGCGCTGCAATCATTCAACATTTATGCATTAATAACAAAACCTTGAAAATACACACTCACCTGAAGCCATCGGCTTCTTTTTTCTTCGATTTATCGATTTTGGCCAAAAATCTAATCTCCCCACTATAATCATCGTAACAATAGAGCATAGGACAACAATCGTGACCCTGTTTTTCAACATTATTCATTAATAGCCATCATTCAATATAGAAATGCTTACCGCTGTAACAAGTAGATTGTCCGAACACCAAACACATGATAGGAATGGCAGGAATGTAGTTCGCACATTGATAGGATGCATACTTTTCCGAGAATCTACTACTGAAACGCTAGAATCATGCGACACCCAAGCTAATCGAGAACCGTCCGGCGAAAAAGCCACACAATGAACCCAGCCACCTATAGGACATCAGGAAAGAAAACAATGTCAATGATACAATGGTTGAACGCTCAACCAATTACCAACCTCCACCTTGAGATGAATGAAATTCGGCCAACATTGTACCGATATCGGTCTTACCATTCCACGTGGCTTTTACTTCATCGGCACTTATTGCTTTATCCACATCTTTAATGTAGGCCGAAAATACTCGTGTTCGGAAATCGGTAGAACCACATGCCAATAGAGCATTGTTGGCATGCCAATCAATACTGGTCACCGTAGATTTTATCGATTTTTTTATGTGTTTACTAACCCACCAATCATTTTGTTGTTCAAAATAACAGACCGATATCAGTTTGGCACCACAACCCACAGCAAATTTATCCTCTTTAGGTGACCATCGAACACAAGTGGCGGCACGATTTATTCGCAGTAATACTAATGTCGGTTTCCAAACACCATCCACCAATGTCCAAACATAGCCGGTTCGATCCTGCGATCCATATAATCAATGTTGAATGAAACATTCACTGCAAATGTCAATCAATACTTACGGCCGAACAGGTTACAATTCGGTTGGTTCGTTTGGCCCAATCAATACTGGTCACACGAAGATCATGATGATTCAACGAACTATTTAGATTCCATTTGCCACCATTTTCTTTATGGTAAATATGTACTTCATGGTTGTTTGGTGATACGGCCAATTCTGTCATCATTGATCATTACATTTTTATAACAATCCTTTGCCAGTACTCTACTTACTATCTTTATTCGAATTGAATGCATGTGTTGTGATTGGCTCCACGCCGAACGTATGAATTTCATTGTTACTCATCATCATCAAAAATGATTCACCGATAGGAAATGGTTATGTTCCTTAGATTTCAAGATGATTTTTTGTTGATTGTTTGCAAATTCAATCAATCAGTCAGTCACACACAATAACAATACAACAGTCAAGTGACGTCAACAGAATCTCAGTGGTGATAATTTTGACAAGCAATTGAGCAGCAAAAATAGCAATCAAGTAATGATGATACTCAACAGTGATTGCATACAGAAATGATCATTCAAAATGTGGATTTAATTTGCCCAACACAATCAGATACATTCCAATACCAGATATCCAATCCACTGAGCAAAACGATAACCACTTTTTGACAAATCAAAAGTGAAATCAGATCGAAACACACACCTACCCACTCTGGATAAATTACCGGTGTGTGTGTGTGTTGGATTGGTGATAATTGATAATTTGTTGGTTTGTTTGGTTTTGACATAAACGAATCTGGATGCTTCTTCTTTTCTCACTGTGTGATAGCAAATATACTCATTTTGTTTTGTGGAATCGAACCAGGCATGCGTGATTAATATGTAACAATTTATTGGTCCACACCCACACATTATTGATGTTCGTAAATAACGTTTTTGATTTAAATTTGAAAAAATGATTTTCCAATTTAAATCAAATTAACTAATTTTGGTATAAATGGAAATGGTAAAATTGGATAAATCTTTTGGAAAAAAACTTGGTCGAAATGGTTGCCGAATTTTCTATTCTTTATGTGACTTTTCCAAACATAGAAATGGGACGAAAAATAGCACAGTAAGTTTGGATCATTATAATTTATTTGATTAATAAATCACGATTGAATTTATAGTGAACTGCTAGAAAAACGACTGGCTTCCTTTATCAATCTCATTCCATCCATGATGACCATATATCATGAGGAAAAGGACAACAAAATCAAACAACAACACTTGAATGAACAAGACGAACAAATCGATGCCGAGATCTTGATGATGGCCAAAATTCGTTCGACATTAGCCAAAAATATTCTCGAAATGGTTGATCGATTACATCCATATGATCTGCCCGAAATGTATACCGTACCGATCGATCAAATGAATAGTACATTACGAAAATATTTGGATGATAATCTAGCTAGCAACATTTGATAAGGCACACTCAGCAAACAAAACAAAAAACCAATTTACATTAAAATTCTTTTTTTTTCAATTTAATTTCTGTTTTGAATAGTAATTGATATTGTCAGGGGGAAAGGATAGAATTGATTTGAAATTGCTAGACAGGTTAGGCAAATAGTTTATCGAAACATGAATGACAATAAGGTTTTTCATTGTGTTTTTTAAATGTTCCTTTGTTCAATTGTTTCAAACAAAATGAACAGATGAAATGTTCAGGATGATATTTTTGAAACATTGCCGTTATGCAACGACCAGTGATTGGTTGCCGACATGATGCACAAAGATTACCACGTTTATCATGATAATGGGGCTCACAATAGGGTCTGCCTTCAAAATCAAAATAGCTTTTACCTTCGGTGAATGGTGATTTGCAATCCTACACAGACATCAAACAATTATCATCAAGATTCACAATTAATCAATCAATCGAAAATGAACATACCCGACAAACAAAACAATCCTGATGCCATTGACCACCCAAAGCAGTTACATAATTATCTTCAATTGGCTTCGAACAACCAGAACATTTGGGGGCAAATAATTTGAAAAAATCCTGACGACAATAAGCATTACCAGCTTTCTCATGATAACCATCATCACCGAAATTTTGGCCACAATGTGCACAACAAAAATGTTCCGGATGCCATGTCTTATCCAATGCAGTGATGCATCTCTGCCATAATCAATCGACAAAAACAAAAAAATAAACGGATTTAGGACAAGTGTAAATCAACTCACATCATAGATGGGTTTCTGGCAATAATGACATTTAGGTGAAAATAGACGATGATAATCTTGTTCACAATATGCTAGACCATCACGTTCGAAAAATGTTTGATCACCAAGTTGTTGTTGACATTTGATGCAGACAAAATGTTCAGGATGCCATGTTGTGCCCAATGCGGTAACAACCTGACCAATAATTGCACGACCACAACCATGACAATCACCTTTGGTGGTTGTTGATACACCTTGTTTGTTTAGATCAATTTCCAAATTGCCAATCATAGAATCCAGATCTGCATTCAAAATCGGAGCATATCCTTTGTTGGGAACCTGTATCTTTCCCAATGCCATGTAATTGTTATTGCTGGCTTGTTGATTGCCGGTTGTTTTGATTTGATTGAGCTAGTGATTTTCAAATGGTTAAACGGGGTTAAACGGGGTTAAAGCAACTTACCTTAAAATCGGATAATGATGCCATCAAATCATCAAGTTCTCGGGTTGCATGCGACACTGGACCATGTCCACCCGAAGGCAAAGGAATCTGAATGACAGGATTTTCATTCATTTGTGCTTTTTGCGGTGTAATATTGACCAATTGTCGATTGTATTCGGAAACTGGTTCAATTCGTGCTTGTTGGGGACGATGCTGATCACCAATACCATTACTATCAGCATACATGGCTGGTTTACTGCACCCAACAAACACAACTCAATTTTGATGATAATTTCACAAAATATTATGATAAACTTACTTGTATGGTGAAGATGTGGGGGTTGTTGTTGCCGTTTGTAGATTATATTCCAGATTGCGAATCAAATCATTCACCTGATCACTATCGGTCGAACGTTCTCGATGTTGTTGTTGGTGGTGGTGGCCACCATTCGCTAGATAAGGACTAGCACCACCGTTAGTAGTTATGGCTATAAATAAAAAAAACAAAAACGATAAATATCAAATGCTATTTCGACAGTAGGGGCAAACAAGAATGGGAACAGGAAATGACGCCCTCAGGATGCACACTCAACCAGAACCTTGAAAAGTTATCATCATTCGATTTGATGTTGGATGTTCGCTTGGCCAAATGAAATGCAACTGTGAACAAACTAAACTAAATTGACTAAATTGACTGAATGAATTCAAATGAAATTTAATTAATCAATACACTCAAGAGAGACTACACTGTTTTTGGACGTAAACTTCCTACACTATCATGAAGCGATGACCATTTCGGGCAAAAAAGAGTGGTAAGTAGGCAAATAATACATGCAACAATCATCATTTTAGCATTACATTCATTTCGAGGATATAAAGGGATTGTGTGGCTGTGACCATAAATGGGCATTCAAGCAAATAAGCAAACAAAGCAAATAAAGCAAACAACATGCCTGCATTAGAATTGGTTTGGAAACGATTCACATTTGATGATAATGGTGAAGGTGATTTAGAACCATTTCGGGAAACATAACTAGATCTGGCGGCCGCATCCAAATCATCAAGCAAATTATTAATCATGCTTATTTTTTCGGTTATCAGATCAACATCGTTGTCGTTATCGTTGTTGCTGTTGGTTGTTGTGGTTTTACGATAGATACCTTCATAAATTGGTGAAGTTGAGTGCTGATGACCATTACTGCGTCCAGCACCGTTGATGGGTGCATAATCATGATCCATTGTTGATTGTTCGCTAGCACGTCCTCCTCGGGATAGCATTTGTTCATTCTGATATAGAGGCTGTTTGGTTATTGGAATGGCAAGCATATTGATTATGTTTGAAAATAGATTTTCTTTTTGTTTGCATTCCAACATACCTCATCATTGACGTAATACTGTGGACTATAATGTTTGGCCACTTTAGCTGTACTGTAAGCTGATGATATTGTCGGATCATTCGGTTTGCTTAGTTTCCATGTTCCACCACCACCACCACCACTTGGATGTGTCTTGAGCGTTGATGTTGCTCGCTCCAAATCCTGTAGTAATGAATCTAAACACAGACACCAATTTAAAGACAAGAATAAGCAAGGGGCAATAATATAAACAAATCATAACATCGCACATATCACTAACACACATAACCAACATCACAATTCACATGTCTTCACAACAGACCTTGGATTCGTTCCATTCCTTTTTTTCGATACATTATTCGATTGATTGATTGAAACTACAAAACAAACTGAATTGTTGTTGGCTGGCTCTTAGAACCAGAACCTGAAACACACAAAACACAGAAATGAGATGATGTACAAATGATGTGATGTGTACGAAACGTTCAAAGTCGAACGTAAATCCAACACAACAAAGCTAACGGAAAAAATTCTGGAGAAATTCGTTCACTGAATGACTGAACGATGATGATTCGTCGAGGTTGGTTTATTGCTTGCAAAGACACACAAGCACAAGTGATGATAATAATTATTATTAGAAACGAGGTTTCTTTAGCCTGATTCTATTTTATGTGCCAAGCCAAATGGCGGCAATAACAGCCAAACAAAACAACAGAAAATACTATCAATGAATGAATGATTCGTATTCGTTTCTTAACAAACAACTAAATTGGAAATTTCACTGAATCAAATCTGAATATTTTATTTATAGAATGCCACACACTCACTATACACTGACTGTCACATTTAATTTCGTTTCATCATTTCTTTGCCAAACTCTCTTCCTCCCTGACTGACTCTCTTAACAAATTAGCAACCAATCAAACTAACAAAACAAACAAAAAGCATTGATTGTTGTCGTTTGGCATGAGGATTGGTGCTTCTGTTTACGACTCAACAACAGAACATGTACCAAATTGACATAGGGCGTAGGGCGTCATAATCGCCTCGATTATGGTCATCATTTCCTTTGGATGGACCTTGGCGCCATTAACAAACACAAGGCGCGCCTACATTTTGCATCTCTATGCTGGAATATTGTCCAAATATGTTCTGTCAAGGTAATTCTCTCTCTTGGCTTCTAAACAAATCAATCAATCATTGAAATTCAATCACAAAACTAGGCCGGAAAAAATTTTACTTACCCAAATTATCCATCACTTTATGTTATGATGATTCTTGAATGAGCAATATTTTGTTCTGGTCACTTTTGCTTTTGTTATCGTCAAACTCACCAAGTCAACAAATCATTTCAACAAAAATCGCTAATTATTACAACCACAGGTAACACATGTGACAAAAACATTCATTCTTTCAAACATAACATCAATCAATCATCACGATTACCAACCAAAGTCAACAAATGAGAGAGAGAGAGAGAGATAGCAGATTGAGCATCAAAAATATATGTTGATTGTAGTCGTTGTCGAGGAAACACCTTATAAGCATTGACAACAGCAAAATCACAGATTTGGAAGCCAGGATAATAATCACAGACATGTAACTGGATAACAAACAATGGATCATATTCACATTCGATAAAAATGTTTCAATTCGATCAATGATCACACATCACTCTTTCTCACTTCAGTAATGATGATGATGTCAATATCACACAAGAATCTGGCAAATAATATTATGCAGTGAAGCCATCTGGCGATCTCTAGCCAGCAATGGACATTGTCCAAACCTACCAGACACTTCTCTCCTTGTTTCAAACCAAACGGGTTTCAACTTTTAAAAACCGGAAATACTTGATCATATTCAACAGGTTAGGTTAGACTTTGCTCATTCATCTTTCAATCCTACGCACTATGCTAAATCATTTTTTGAGCTTCAACCAGAATGACCGCAGAAAACAAAGCCAAGAATAAAAACCGCCAACGCAAAAAACATTTATTTGAAATTAAATATAGGGCTGGCCTCATTAATGCAAACTATGTCATCATCAAGGAATGAATGAATAAAACATGATTATCATCAGTACATTTATTAAAGCGAATGTGGAAAAAGAAAATGTCTTCTATGTGGAAAATGAATTGATTGATCATTATAGAAAGAATGCTATTTCAAATCGATAAGTGTGATATCCATGTGGGCGTCAATTTCTTTCAGTATGGCTTTGGTCTTCTATCGTGCATCGGTGGACCACGCATTCCGTAATCACCACCGCGGCCACCACGTGGAGGACCACCTCCACGTCCTCGCATCGGTGGACGATCACCACCACCGCGCATTGGTGGTCGATCACCATGCGGACCACGCATTCCAGGCGGGCCACCCATTCCAGGAGGTCCGTCACGCCGACCCGGTCCACCCATTGGTGGTCCACCGCGTCGATCCATTGGCGGTCCTGGTGGACGACGATGATCACCGCCGCCACCACCACCACCACCACCAGGTCCCGATGGCATTCCAATATCGTCCGGTCTGGGAGATTTGCATCGATTGCATTGATCACGCCAGGAAAAGTTGTTGTTGTTACAGCCGGGACAACGCCAATCACCTTGTCGAACAAAACCATTATCTCGTTCTCGATCTCGACCACGGCCACCACCGCCGCCACCTCTTCCCCCATCACCACCACGACCGCGCATTGGACCACCTCCTCCTCCGCCTCTTCCACCACCGCGCCCACCTTTGTAATCACCACCGGCCGGTATTTTACGTTGAGCGAATTCTACGTTCAATATTTTACCAGTGCCAGGTAGTTCTTTATTATGAAACCATTGAATAGCCGATTTGGCTGTATGTGGATCTTCATAGGTTAGTGTAGCCTCGCCTTTTCCTTCGCCAGTCACTTTGTCACGATAGATCCAGATTTTATGTTTTTGTGATCTATCCATCTACCATAGAGAATGAAATCCATTATTCAATCATCACTTACCATATAACAACATACCTTGATAATACCAATCGAACCAAAATGGCTTGATAATTGATCTTCAGTAACATCCAGTGGCATACCGGATATAAAAATAGTATCATTTTCCATATCGTTCGGTTGCGACATATAACCACCACCGCTACCAGGAGCCGATTGGGGTGGGGGAGGTCCAGCTTTAGAATAATTGAAAATAATCAAAATTAATCATATTGCACATAACAACAACATTCACTCATTATCATCATTACTCAACATGCATATCTCATCTGATCTGTGAATGAACAAGACCCTTTTCACTGATCATTATTTTTTGTTCAACCAAAAAACCAACATAGAATAAAACATTTTTTGTTTGTTTGGATCAAAAATGTTTACCTTTATAACCAGCAGGGCCTGGATTACCACGGCCACCCATTGGTCCACCTCTGTCATCATCATGTTTCATTATCACACAATTTCAAAATCAAATATTTAATCATTTGATTGATTGATTGATGCCCACAGTTATGATATTTCATATATTAACAAAAGAGAGAAACAGAAAAGTTATGAACACCAGTTATATATGACCATTACCAATTATATAACAACAATACTGGTCATTTTGTTTTGTTTTTTGAAAAAAATAACACCAACACTTGATTCAACAAACACTTCAAACACAAACATTTTTTTGAAAATACGTATTACGCGTGTTCAATGATTGTACCGATTGGAAATAAGAACCCAATTTTCTACACACCACTTTTCAAATAAATACACTTTATAATACCCCAACCTTAAACAAAGAGACGCAAATTAGTTTCAAAACAAAACAAACAACAGATGACACTTTACATGTCAACAATTTAAATGTAAATACCTTTTTGTGTTCATCATGTCTTAACAACAACAATACCTTCAACTCTTTTTTTCAATATTGAAAAAACACCTGCGATTTGATTTGATCAACTCATTTTCATGGAATGTCAATGTTCACGTATTAGTGTGGAAGATATTTTTTTTCTTCAAAAACTCATGTCCAGTTGTTTACAAAACAAAAGAAAATTTACCTGAAATTTCCATGTCCTTGCGGTGGCATTGATGGTCCAGGTGGTGGTCCATTTGGTCCAGGAGGCATACCACGATTCATACCACCACCATTTCCAACGTAAGCACCACCCCCATATCCATTAGGACCAGGACCATAATTGGATTGAGGTCCAGGAGGAGGCGGTGGACCACTTGGTTGCCATCCAACTGATTGGGCATTCGGTGCATTCGGACCTTGCGGTACATTTCCATACGAAGTTGAATACGGTGGTGGAGGTTGTTGCGCTTGATTAGGATTCGAACCAGGACCAGCTGGACCGGTACCGGGCTGATTTTGATAATAGGCATTGGCGCCACCATAAGCATCACCCACGCCAGCAGAAGCGGCGCCATAACCAACTGAAGTAGGTGGTGGTGCAACAGAATTTGGTGCTACATTCGGTGGCGGGCCGGATGGTATAGCATTAGCATTTGCAGCTTGAGCATAACCCATGTATGCTTGTTGTTGGCTTTTAGTGTCTAGATTTAGAGGCAAAATAATTTCCATCAAAATATTGTCATGTCACGTTGTAAAGATATTACCGTAGGTAGGTTGAGTTGTTGTGTACGATGAATATTGATCCGAAGTTGGTGGAACGGCTTGCGGTTGTTGTGGATACGATGAGCTACCGTAAGGATTTGCCGCACCTGTTCCGTATTGAGGAATGGCATTAGCTGCTGCGCCTGGTGCACCTTGTGGTGGTGGCTGACCACCGGCTACTGGATTCGAATAATAACCAGCAGTTGCCGGATAACCTCCGTAACTAAATCAAAAAAGGGGGTTATTAAATGTGGCAACATAAAATCAATTACTTTGCCTAATTTTACTTACCCTGCGTTTTGCATAATCGTTTAAATCAATATCAGATTACGAAAAGTAAAAAATGAAAAAATTGATCAAAAATTGTTTTGATTTGATAACACCACACAACACGAAATGAGAATTTATTTTGCGAGCAAAAAATTGGCATGCAATTGAACACAATGGAATAACCAAAAAAAAATGACGCATGAGCACTGATGATCATTCAATCAACCAATCATCAATCACAATCATCGAAGTACCGTTCATAAACAATATGAGCATAAAACACAAACGTCAATTAGCTTTGATTAATACCACTACTACGACTACTACCAATCGAATCAGTTATGAATTGTTGAAAATTGGCGCTTATTTTTCTGACCGTTGAACTTTTCGATTTGGTTTGTGCAAATGAACACATTTTTGCTTTGATAAAATTTATAATATTTTTCTTTTAATCATAAAATCATCATCATCATTATTATTATGGAGAAACAAAATCTGTATGGTTATCTTTCTTATTATGGCAAAAAATCCAAAGCTAATTTTCCGATTAGAAAACGAAAAATTACAATTGGCAATGAAAAAACAAATGATATACGTTTGACTCAAAAGCAACCGCCAAATCGACAATTTCTTGAATTATCAATCCGACGATGCTTACAAAATGAATGGAATTATACATTGGACCTTTGTGTATGTAAGTAGTCTAATCAATCAATCAAATGTTTGCCAATTCTAATTCGAAAAACATTAGTTGATCAAACAGTCCGAGAAAATATCACAATCGATAATGAAAAAATTTTTATCGAAAACAATTCCATTCAATTGAAAAATGGAAGTGTTATAACCATTTTTGGACATGATTTTAAATTCTGTTCGAATCAAGCAAACAAGTGCACTAAATCAGCATCAAAAATTCCGGTGCTAAAAAGCAAAACTCATTTATTAGATCTTTATTCCAATAAATCATGTGGATGGTCAAGTAGAACAAATTCTCCGAAAAAATTATCATTTAATCCTATTGATTCGGCTATCAAATCGAGAATTCCCATTTCCGCCACCAAGTCCGCATTAATCGATGCAAATGATTTGAAATTGCCCGATGAAGAATGTAACGATAATCCTGATCATCAAACTTCCACGCATGATTCAACATTCGATGTTGATTCCGATAAATCATCGTTGATGAAATTTTGTACACCCGATCCTACTCGAACAGAATCGGTTTCAATGAACAAATCTTTAAGATCTCTTTTGAAAATGACTCCACAACAATCGTTGACACCGAATCGAAAATCGGTCATTTTCAATGAATTTGTCGAAGAAAAACATAATGAATATGATCATCGTACGGGAAAATTATTTTCAACGAAAAAATTTTCCAGAAAGTTATTTCCCATTTCGCCGGATCCACAACAAGATGTTGAACCAGATGAACTTGGTAGTTTTCTAGAAACATCTCCCGATCAATATAAAACTTTACCCAATCAGAATGATTCAACATTAGCTTCGGATAACGTTTCGAATGGAGATAATTTTGTTACAATCAATGATAACATGATTGTTGATTATCATTCCCAATCACCAGGTAATCAATACTTAGATGGTAAAAGAATTATTTAATTGAATTTACTTTTCTAGAACCAGAAATTGATCAGCAACAACAGTCAATAATAAACGATGATCATTATAGTCAAGTTGATCATCAAAGCAAACATCCCGATAATACTATTTTAACTGCTGACCATAATGAACATGGTACACTAGATTCCAATGTTGATTTCGAAGTTGAAACACTTCAGCAGCCAAAAACACCGCAAGCTGATTATGAAACCAATGTTGATTTCGGTATTAAAAAACTCCAGCAACCAAAAACACCTCAAGCTGATTATGTGTCAAATATCGATTTTGCAGTTAAAAAACTTCAGCAACCTAAAACACCGCAAGCTGATTATGTCTCGAACGTTGATTTTGCAGTTAAAAAACTTCAGCAACCTAAAACACCGCAAGCTGATTATGAAACCAATGTCGATTTTGCAGTTAAAAAACTTCAGCAGCCAAAAACACCGCAAGCAGATTATGAAACGAATATCGATTTTGCAGTCAAAAAACTTCAGCAGCCAAAAACACCGCAAGCAGATTATGTATCGAACGTTGATTTCGGAATTAAAAAACTTCAGCAACCAAAAACACCGCTGGCTGATTATGAAACCAATGTCGATTTTGCAGTTAAAAAACTTCAACAGTCTTCTACACCTATCGCCAACTATGAAAAAAATATCGATTTTGGTATCAAAAAACTTCAACAACCCACAACGCCAATCGCTGATTATGAAACCAATATCGATTTTGGTATTAAAAAACTTCAGCAGCCAAAAACACCGCAAGCAGATTATGTATCGAAAATTGATTTCGGTATTAAAAGATTGCAAAGACGTATTATACCGTTACCTGAATATGATGACAATTTTGACGGGTTGGAGAATCTTTTTGCTACCGACGACAACGATATCAATCTTATGATTACACCAATCAAGCCAAAAGCTAGAGGACGTCGACCTAAGCAAAAAATTGAAAATAGTGAAAATCGAATGCTAACACGTAGTGCTCACAAAAAGAAAATCAAAAATGAAGAACAACAAGATGAACAATTGGAAGAAAAATTGTTAAAAAGTAAAAAACAATCAACAGGTGTCAAGCGACGACGTAAAGCTCCCAAAGACGAGATCGGCCAACTTATTGATAATGATAGTGACGATGGTAAGTTTGCTTCGAAAATAACCAAATGCTTACAAATATCCTTTTTTTCTGCTCACGTCCATCATTAGAATCAAAAGCTGATCAAGTTGATATCGAAAAGATTAGAGAATTTGCGGAAATATATTCTAAGAAATCTAATAATCATGATGTAGATCAGTTCCATAAACGTTCCCGTGGTCGTGGTTCACGAAAACAATCATCAACAGCAACTATGACAAACGACGATGATGAACTACAAGCAATCGATATTATGGAACTTGATGATAATCAGTTGATTGATGCAATGAATGAAAGATCTTCGGTCACTAATGGAAAAAGGAAAACGGCTCCTACACGTAAAAGAAAAACGACAGCGATCAACAAAACTTGTAAATCAAATGAATCTGATGATCATTTGATTGATGACGATTGCATCGATCAACAGGAAAATCAAAAGAATGTTGCCAGTTGTCAACCACAACGAATGAATAATCAGAAAAAATGTCGTATTATATTGCCGGATGTCGATTTCAGTATGCGATTAGAATGTAACGATTCCAATGAACAAACGACTAAAGCAAAAGTCATTATGACACGATCACGTGCCAAACGAATTCACTGAATATATTGTCATTGTTAGCTATCACCAAAACAGGCACCACCATTAATTTAATGAAAGCAAATATATTTAACCAAACTAAATATTTAATAAACTTATTCCATTCGGATGTAACAATTGTCTTTTCTTCCTGGATAAACAAAAATGAGGGAAATCCTCCTGACCAATCAATTCTTCAATAGAAAAATCTAAAAACCAAAAAACAGATGCTATATAAATCAACAAGTTGCAATCCAATCAATCAATACTGTGTGCTTGTCAATAATTCGTTCGAAACGAATTTGATTAAATCGTTGATTTTCTCTTTCATTTTTCGTTGGTTGTGTTGTGGTTTCAGGTTTCGCCAAACGTGCAAATGCACACAGACAAATGTAATCTTCTTTTTTGTTACAAATCAGATATTTTTCCATAAGGCAATAGTAATAAATATTATCCACATTTCAATTGACAAAGTCTATTTGATGCCATAAAAAAATTTTGATAATTTTTTTTCTATTTGCCGCTATAAAGTTTAGTAGCTAGGATAAAGTTTTTTTAGTTTGCCTTTTCATTAGTATACCGCATTGCTTTTTCGAATCCCATGTCCATTGTGGCGTATAGCGATCATCATTAGTGAAGATGGATTTAAACCATAACGACAATCATAATAATGATCCATTAGATAGGTAGGTGTGTTGATGATTGGAATGTTTCAATCAATTCTGATAAAATTTCTGTCAATATTCAGATGGCATATGATTAAAATTGTGTTCATTTTACATGGAATTTCCGCTTTGCTACCATGGAATATGCTTATCAATGCAGACAGTGTAAGCTTCGATTCTATTTCGACTTGATTGACCAAATAATTATCATTTGCCATTTTAGTATTTCGTCGATTACAAATTGGTTCGCCCAAATCAAACAATGATGACCAACACTTTTTCATCGGACCATATCGATGCCGGAATGAATATAACCGAAATTATTCATTCGGATATTTTGGAAAATTATCGTCAAAATTTCCTACCTTATTTGAGTACAGCATCCAAAGTGCCAAACATCATCTTTCAATTGGCCAATCTATTATTCTGTTCGAGGTACGTTCGATTGATTGATTGGATTGATAATTTGTTTGTTTGTTTAGTCCAAGATCGTATCGAATTCGAATGAATTTAACATTTCTGGTACAGATAGCATTGTTTATCATAATGATTGGTTTGGCTTTTATCGATACCAGTGAATGGCCGGTAGTGTTTTTCTGGATTACAATGATCATTGCCATTCTATTCAATACGGTGAATGGAATATTTCAAAGTTGCATCTATGGATTCGTGGCCAAATTCCCGATGAAATACATTAATTATGTTACATTTGGATTCAGTTTCAGCGGAACGATAGCATCCATTTTTCTGATTGTATCACTAATGTTATCACCACATCCTCGAACAGTGGCATTATATTATTTTTCATTTGCAACCGGATTTATGATTTTATGCTATATTAATGAAATATTTCTTCTTAAAAATGTAAGTTTTACCAAATCTTATTTCTCCAACCAATCATGCTCATCAAATCTTTAGCTTTTCTTTAGACATTATTTCTATGGAAACGATTCAAAAACTTTGACGAAAAATTCCCCAATCACAAACAATTTGCAATTGGATCCAAATGTTCAACTGAATAACGGCTGTGGCGAACAAAATGATAAATTGACAATCAAAACTTTTAAATTTGTTTGGAGAAAATGTTGGATTCAACTATTGAACACAGCTCTAATTTATTTTTCATCCTTTGTTATATTTCCGGCTATTCAAGCGGCAATCAAACCGATCGATAATTTGGTTGATCAAAAATTTTTCGCACCAATATTTTGTTTTTTATTTTTCAATACCTTTGCCTCCATTGGTAATTATGTGGCGGAGAAACTACGTAAACCAAAACCATCGGGTCTAATATATTTAGTAGTGCTTAGATTTTTATTCATACCATTCTTTTTATTCTGTAATTATATTCCTGATCAACGAAAGTGGCCAGTATTGATCCAAAGTGATTATATTTATATTATTGGATCGGCATTATTAGCATTTTCCAATGGCTATACATCTAGTTTAGCAATGATGTATGCACCGAAATCAGTACCCGAGCAATATGCATCGTTGAGTGGAATGATGGCATCAGCCGCCGTTATAATCGGTAAGATTTGCTTTAAATATAGAACAAAATGATAATCATTCCTCTTTACATTAACATTGATTCAAATAGGCATTATCGTTGGAGTTCAATGTTCCATGCTATTTCGTGCACTTATATCATAGACAAGATTATTTCTAATATTTATCTATTCAAAATAATCAATAATCATTCGGTTTATTTCAATCAATTTTTTTCTTGCTAATTCAATAAAATCTATCAATTCAATTTAAGTAAATGAGTGAAGAAAAGAGCATGCTCGCTCATAAGTGTGCTTTGTCATCATTTTTTTTTTTTTTTTTAATAATTTTTGAAAAAACGACCGAATGGCCAAAATCAAACTATTAATCGTAATGGGCCCAAGTGGTTGTGGTAAGACAACAATTGCCCAGGCATTAGCCAATCGTCTAAGTGATGGTCATTATGTGGAAGGTGATCAATNAATATTTATCTATTCGAAATAATCAATAATCAGTTTATTTCAATCAAATTTTTTTCTTGCTAATTCAATAAAATCTATCAATTCAATTTAAGTAAATGAGTGAAGAAAAGAGCATGCTCGCTCATAAGTGTTCTTTGTCATCATTTTTTTTTTTTTTTTGAATAATTTTTGAAAGAACGACCGAATGGCCAAAATCAAACTATTAATCGTAATGGGCCCAAGTGGTTGTGGTAAGACAACAATTGCCCAGGCATTAGCCAATCGTCTAAGTGATGGTCAATATGTGGAAGGTGATCAATTGCACCCACAATCCAATATCGATAAAATGTCAAATGGTAAAATTGAAAAAGAAATGATTCAGTAATCATGTGATGATAATGTCCAATCATCCTCATTTCAATGATAAAAATCAATATTTAGCAATACCACTTGATGATGATGATCGTTGGCCTTGGTTACAATCCATCCGTCAACATTGTGAAAACAATGCCATCCAACAACATGATAATCAATATTTGATTGTAACATGTTCAGCGCTCAAAAAGATTTATCGTAATCAATTACGACAAATTCAACATTTCCAATGGATTAAATTCATTTTTCCACAAGGATCACAGCAATTGATAGGACAACGAATTGAGCAACGAAAAGATCATTATATGAAAGCCAATATGTTGCAATCACAATTTGAATGTTTCCAACCACCGATCGATGAAAATGATGTAATTGTTGTCGATATCGAGCAATCAATCGATATCATTATCGATGAAATTCTTAATAAATTGTAAAACATTTTATTTAAAATTAGTATAAAGTTTGTTTGAATTATTTTCCATGATAATTTACAAGAAATTCCTCAATGTTTGAACCTAAAATTTTCTAAATAAAACAAAGACAATTTTAATATTGATAACATAACAATCAATCTATTTTACCTCAACTTTTGTATCCATTACTGGTGAACGTTTATTGATTGTTGTTTGATGATGATGATGATTGGAAGAATCGCCGTTAAAATGGCCCGATATTTTTCTCTTTTTTTGTTGTTGATTGTTGTGTTGCGTTGAATTATGATGACCACTAGAATTTTTAATATCCGATTTACGTCTATTAATAGAAGGTGATTGATGATGATAATCACTACTAATCGCTGATGGCTGATTGGAACAATCTTGATTGATTTTTGAATCTTGAATTGCAATTTTTGGCTGTCTTTTACCCCTACTCAGAATACTGGGAACAGTTCGTGGTGATCCAACCGTTGATCGATTCGATTGTTGGGAAACACTATTAATTTCTTGGACTGATGATTTGTCATTATCAGTAATAATCGAATCATTAGCAGCGGTTGTTATTTTCGTTGCATTCAAACTAGAATCATTGATTGTTGTTGATGTTGATGAAAGTTGCAAATTGGATGAATCCAAATAATAGATTGTTTCCTGTGTTGCCGTTGTAGCAGCAGCCGCAATAGTAGTAGTAGGATATGTTAGATAAACTAAACCTTGTTGATCACTCCATGCTGTGATTGTTTGATTGTTATTATCTTGAAGAAGTACCGGTCTGGTTAGAACATTTGTAGTCGGTGTAGGTGTTGATGACCAATTCTGTATGGATACTATTTCCACATTATTATTATTAATTTGCGGACAGACCATTTGACTATTGGACGTGGATGTCGTTGTTGTTGTTGATTTTTGTTCATTTGGTCCATTACCATTATCATTATTATTGATGAATGAGGATTTTACCGGAGCATCATGATTGCCACCATGATCATCACTGACTAATTCGATAGTTGTTGTCAATGCTGTTGGTTTATTCGTGGTTGCTGTTGCAATTTTATTATTATTGAGTGTTGTATTTTTGATCGATTCTTGTACTTCTCTTTGTTTATTATTAACTCGACTAAATTTGTGATTTTGAAGAATTGGTTTAATTTTCGTCGATGATGATGAACAAATACTACCTGTTGCAACAAGATTATTGCTGCTGGTGGTGGTGGTAGTGATCAAATTAGACTTATTGTTATTAGTAACATTTAATCGATTATTAGTTAAAGATAATCTTTCCGGTGTTTTCAATTCGTTGATAAGATTCTTCACTGGCACCATGGATGAATTTTTTTGATGTATTTTATCGACATTAGATTGCTGATTGTTGTGATTAGTATTGATTGGTGTCATAAAAACATTGGGCGTATTCAATGATGATGAATTGGAAGTATTACTTGGTGTATTAAACGTTGATGATTGACATTTGAATGGTGTGTTGGCAATTTCTTTCTCAACAACTATATGTACAAAATTCTGAAATTCAGGCTCTTCGGCTAATGAACTTAACAATTCGTCCATTGTATCGGGTGGCAGAAGATCTTTTTCAATATCACCAATTTTATTCGAATCGATTGCATGATCGGTTGTCAAACAATGTTGGGAATTTTTAATATTTTGTTGTTCTTGTTGCTGTTGTTGATTGATAATGTTAGTAATATTATCATCCAACATTGGTTGATCTTTAACATCGATAATTTTCTGTATAGTATTGGCAACTTTATCATGCAATGGACGATATTTTAGTAATTCATCGAATATGATTCGTGGTTGTACTTCGATATCGATTTCAGATGATTCACAAGCCAATGATGATATTGGCGATGAATTGGTGTTGGCCAACGATAGCATTTGCTGAACATTGGAATCAGATGTAAGACAATTCATTGTGGATGATGAATCCGATTGATATAGTTGTTGTTGTTGTTGATGTGGATTTGTCATCAATGATAATCGTTTTGGTGTTGCATTTTTGCGACGTGGTGAATAGGCGTTCAAATTTCTCGATTGAAGAATTTTGTGTCTAAAGTTTATCAATTAATTCAAAAGACGATCAAATTAAATGTAAAAAAAATCTTCAACAAACACTTACTTTGGTGTTGATAAATGTTCACGGTTAATGTTGTTGTTGTTATGTGATTCTAATGGAAGATTTGTATTCTTAACATTCGTGGTTTGATAATGTAATGGCGGAAAATTATTCGGAAAAGTTGTTGTCGTTGCCGATACAGTCGATTGCATTTGGTTGATATTTTGGGAAAATTTTCCATTAAGGGTTTCGGTCAATGACATATTGTATGGTTTAGTTGAATATCGAAATCCATTTTTAATTCCTTGAGCAAATTCCCGTAGATATGGTGATTCATCAAGAAAACATTGTGCTGTTCGTTGACAATTTGTTTCCAATAGATAGCCATATGTTAATCGAGCTATATCCGATGGCATAAAACATTGATTCGACATTTTTTCTGTTTATTTCTCGGACAATACTTTTTCATTCAATACCACAATCATAATCACCATCAAAATATTTATTCTGTAAGCAAGATAAACAAACAAAAACACCACAAAGTACAATTCAAATAAAAAAAGAATCGAATGAAACCAAATTGAAAAACAGTCGACAAAACAAAACAAAACAAACAAAGCCCATTCGATCAAAAAATCGAGGGAAATCTAAATGATACAATCGATACCATCGCGATTAATCGAGCCATCTATCGATCGAAAAGATCAAAAAAAAATGTCAAAATTGTAATGTTGAAAAATTCCAAACCAAGATATTTTCTTTATTTATTAATCAGATAATTATGGCTGATAATAATAATATTATATTAGTGTGTGTGTGTTTCCATTTAATGAGATGGGCAAAAAAATTTGATAATCCGATCCAATCCAACAATCTTTTTGTCATCATCGGGGATCGGATTAATCGGAATTTATACAGTGAAAAAATGATTAAATTAAAAATAAATTAATTTTCAAAAAAATGAAATAAATAAATAAATATGATTTGATATGATTGTTAGTTAGATTTGTAAATTATAAAATAAAGTGATCATTTTGTATCACGAGAGGCAAAAAATTACGTTTTTCGAAGAAAATGAGCTGCACATTTGTCTTGTGATGAATGAATGATTGATTAAGAGTGAAACGAAAAAAAATCATCAAAGTTTTGAGTAGCGAAAAAAAATCTTTATCGAATATATTTCAAATGATTGGGTGATGTATCCCATCGTTTTCGTGTGAAATAAATGATTGTAAATATGTACATAACCAACAGGAAGGCAAACAATATGGCCATTGCATAGATCGATGTTCGTGATGCACATTGTTGCTGGTGTTGCAATGATAACAAATTCAACATGACCGAATCGTTTGTAGAATCTAATTCAATTCAAATGATAAAATCATAAGAGAATAAAAATAATTCAAATAAAACTTACTGTTCATTTGATTAAGATTTTCATTGACATCCAGCACAAGAATTTCTTTACTCAAAGTCATTTCCTCATCACCAGTATCCTGACTAGATGATGGCATTACTGAACGACGGCGTCTTCGTCGTCCCCATGATTCAACATTATCTCGGCCAACACCACATATGACTGGTTCACACTTGCCAATACAATATTTAACATTGCATTGAAATATTACACCGTAAGATTCGGTAAATCGGAATGCTTCATAACTACTTTCCAAAGCATTACCAACTTGGTAGAAACTTGGAAATATTGAATTATCAACAGGACAGCTACACAAACCAATCAAAATTATTATCAATGTCATCATCAGCTTTTGCTTACCCATGCTCGTCGATAATTTCGAATGTACTTCGTGAATCTTTAGCCATTGCAACGCAACTACGGGCAAATATTCCATAAGGTGTACTTTCGGGTATTTCGATACGGAATGATAAACGATCACCAATTCGAACGGTTGATGCTTCGCGACCATCACTACCGAAAATGGTAATTTTTGGCAACGGTGCTTCTGGAGCCGATGTGATTTGTAATGTATCCGGATCTCTGTAGGCAAAAAACGGCGGTCAATTCTATCATCGAAATTAAATCAACAAATTACCTGACTGGCATCATTCCGAATGTGACATTTCTGGATGTTGTTTCATATGTACATCGTACATGATAAACTTTATCCGCTTTGGTCAGTACAACATTATGATGTTGCAGAACAACAGTATTGGTATACATTCCACCTAATGATTGGGTATTACAATCTTGGCCACCCAATGATATATCCAATGTAAATTGTTGACTATTACGAACATTTAGATTACAAGTTTCACTTCGACCCAATGCATAGATACGGCCATGAAATGGTCGACTTGTTTGTACGTTCACAACAATTTTCGTATCGGTACATTTCAATGCAACATCATAACAAACACCATATGAATCACATGATGGTTCTATTCCATCTGCTGATTGTTGCGGTATTGTTGGTACATTCGATATGGTCGATATTGTTGGTGGCATTGTTGGTATCGTTGATATTGGTTTATTACTGCTACTTATCATCGGTAACGATGATGATGATGATGATGATGATATCATCGATGTTGTTGTCATCGACATTGATGATTGTTGATTTTTATTGGTTGTGTCATCTGAAAAACATCATGATCAATCAAAAATGATGGTTATTATCCTTTTCGGAAACTTACTTGCACAACCAGCTTCGAAATAAGTAGCACTCGAATCACCACTATCCAATAATGGTATTGGACTTGGCGTTGCAAATGTATCCAAACCATCGGGAAATGTTTTATGATCCAAATGATACAATGCACAATTTGGTTGTCCAGGTTTAAAACTTGGCCGATAAAGCACCGAACGACAAATAAATTCATTTTCAATGGTACATGCACGAAGACATCCTCCTTGTGATTTGACCTGTTTGGTAATAATGAATGAAGATAATTCATAAACATCGTGTATAAATAAAGCACATACCAATAATTCTTTATCCGGATAATAATTTAATTCAACATAATGAGCAACTTTATTGAATGCCATACCAACTTTGGCATAATCATAGATTCGTTGATCTGGGCATACTTGTTCAGCTATTCAAATAGAGGATAATGATTTTTATCATCAACATCATCATTATCAAATGCCAACAAATAATACTCACATCGGAGACAGGAATTTTCAAAATAATCAGTGCCCTGAATGTCGACCAGATCTTGTGAAAAACCAATCACCGGACTACGACGATCATATTCACTTAGATGACATTGCAGAGTAAGATAATTAAATTCAACCGACCGACAAACAAAACGACCCTATTTTGTTTTTGATTAAATCAATCACTCAATCAACCATTCAATCAATCAATCAATCAATCGAACAAACCTCACTAAGACAAGCTGACAAACATGCTTCACGATTCGATGTATAGATGATAGCATTATCCAAACCACGCATCATTTTATTTGGAAATCTTTCAAATGACCATAAACGATTACAAAGATTATCCGAACGTAATTGCATTTTCGAGAAAAAATACATATTAACGGCTTTCTGTAATGATTGACTTGAATATGAACCACCACTATTCGCTAGATTATTATTGTTATTTGAGCCGGATATCGTTGGTTTTTTGGCTAATGTTTCATTTTGTAGTAAACATGTTGTTTCCTGTATTGGTGTCAATGGATTCACTACAAAACTGAATGCAGCTGCAGTGCAATCATCTTCATCACGACACCAACCAAGACATTCATATAATGATACATTGCGTATTGTATAATATATTGTGCCAGCATAATCACGATTTGTCATCTTGTCAAATGTTATTCGACCTAAATCAACAAAAACCAATCAATACGTTATGTATCAAAATATGTTATATATCAAAATCAAACCAAATAATTCAATATTAATAATACTAACCATAAGTAAATATGAATAAATTGGCCAAAATGATTATGATTGACAGCCAATAATTGTTGTTATGATGATGATGATTATTCCATGACCCACCAATCGACGGTAGGCCAAATAATGTCCAAATTTTCATCATGCCAAACGATACGTCTAAACAAATGTAAAACAACAACAATTGATTCACAATGATAAACTAGATCATTATCATACATAAAATTAAACATTATTTTTGACATTAAACAAAACTAAACGAAAAAAAACAAAGATCAATGACATGATCAACCATTTTTACTAAATGTTCCGAATGTTGCCGATTGTCAATCACACCAGGGTGTATATAGTTTGGAATGATTGGTTGGCCATCACAATTCGATTCGATTCGAATTTTGACAACAACAACAAAGGCAAAAATGTCATTCTTCCATTCATTTTGCTTGTGTAAACTGCGAAATCAGATAATAATCAGATGATAATATCCATATATGAATGATTTATGGCCGGATTACCACCACCACCTCGATCGAAAAGGTGAATTAATCAAAAAAAAGTTAATGTTTGGGATTGACATTTCCTTTTATTTCCAGTGAGATAAGTATCATTATCATCAGATGATGATCAAAACACAAACAAAAAACCGAATAAAACAAACAAAAACATTATCTATAAATCATCCTACACACATAAACAGGATCAAACAATCAAACAATATTATGATCGGAAGATTGAGGATTTTTTCAATCAAAATCAAATTTTTTTGTTGTTTCGTTTCGTTTTGTTCAGGTTGGTTTATTGTTTTTCCAGACACCAACCACCATTTTACAACAACAATCAACATTATTATTATCTTAGCATCCTTTTTTTGTTTCCTGGCTGTCAGAAGATATCAGTTGCCAATCAATCTTTTTTCTGTGGCTAATTTGTTGTTGTTATTCGGATCACAATCGTGTTGTCCGATGTTGTTATTGATATAGCCCCATATAATTATCGCAAATCAAACAACCAACACCGAGAAAAAATAACAACATTCATAATGATAATGAACAGTGATTGATTGATTGATAGATATATCGATATCCTACCCAAAACAAAAACAATCACCCAAATGGCTAAATTGATACTTTCATCCAATTCAATTCAGCTCATCAATTCTGATTGATCAGACCAGATATCGAAACTTGCAAATTGAAAATCAATCCTGATCACTATAGGTTGGTGAATGAATTGATTTTTTTCCTTTCAATCATCCAACCAAATAAACGAAAAAAATCACCAACAAAAAAAATGTCAAGCGACACATTTTTCTAATTTTTGTAAATCTTTCTTTCTTCAATATTCAGGATTTTTTTGGTTCGAAGATATCGAACAAGTTACCATCCCTTCCCTTCGATAAACTATTGTTACGGTTTGATGGCAAGATTGGGTCGTAAAAACGAATGAACGAATATAAATCAAGCGAAACATTAACAAAACAAACGGCCATCAATGGATGGATAAAGTATTTTGGCCACAACAAAAAAATTTAAATGAATTTTTTTGCTTCTCTTTTTCCCGATCGATCGAAACAAAAAATGGTCATTAAATTTCTAAAAATCAATTGGTAAAGTTTCATTGCACACACTCAAATCGAATGATAATGATGATATAATTTCGAATGTTTTCGATGATGAAAATGGTGTGTGTGTATTAATCAATGAATTTTAATTCAATCAATCAATGAAAATAAAAATAGTTACCTCTTTATTGGAAATTGATTGATTGATTATCACAATAATTTATTGATGATTTTTTTCTTCAGAAAATTCTAGATTCCACAATTTTCGTTGCACTTGTTGATGACGATGACTTGGATGATTAAAACATTTCAAAGATGATGATTATGATAGAAAAATTTCAATGTCAAGGTCAAGGTCAATGCGAACCACCTCGAAAAAAAATCACTACACAAAAGAAGGCTTCAAAAGTAAGGAAGAACATCCAAACACATAACCATCATCAAAAAATATCTACCATTATTGTACATTGCACATTATCATCAATAACACCAAAACTTAACCAAAAAATCATTATCATTCCCAGATATCATCATCCGTATTCAGATATGGCACTTTCGCTCTGGCTTTTTATATCGATCTTCAATTCTCTCTCTTCCTTCCTTTGCTCAACCAGAAATACAAAACAACAAAGTAAGGTCAAGGTGAATGTGCATAGAGAATAACGGGATTCCTTCCTTTTGTTACCCTTATACTAACCATTTTCACAACAAAAAGAGAGCAAAAGAGAAAGATGGAAATGTCAGATGATAGCGGTAAAATTCCCCATCTCTATTGCCCATATCAAACAAGTATCTATTGTGTTTTGATTTGGTTTTTGTTTGCCACAACAACCTTACTTAGGTAGTTGTGATTGGGTGATACGGTCTCTCGGTCAATTTGGCTGGCCATTCTTTTTTCTCTCCTTTTTTTCTTTCATTCATTCATGTCGCCAATTGATAATGATAATAATAATAGTGATCATCATCAATGATGATGATGGCGAATGTGAAGCAATATCCACTGCTAATGGGAGGTGATATTCAATTCAAGTCAGCTTGTGTCAGTCAGTCAGTGAGTCACTGTGAATATTTTTTCTTTCTCTTTTTGCTGCAAAAAATATATTTTTTTTGTCCGACAACAATGAAAAGAATTCAACAATTATATTTGGCTTTGGTGCCCATCCATCCATCCATCCATCTCTCTTATTTCCTTATGATGATGATGGTAAAGGTTAGTAGAAAGAAAGAAATTAAGGTTTTTGTATAAGGTGTCGTAAAAAAAATAAAATATTTTTCGATTTTTTGGGCACCGGTTTCCATGATGATGATGATGATAATGGTGATGGTATTCTAAAAATCCGAAAATCTATCCATCCGTGTATACCCCAAACCAAACCAAACCTTACAACCGAATGTGGCTATGGCTATCATTGTTTATTATCATTTCACCAACAACAATATCAATCTGAGAAGCAAATCATTATTCATTTTTTTGTTCATTCCTAAAGGAAATCAAACATTGACTGACTGACCAAATAACCATATTATATAACTCGACAAAACAAAGCAAAACAGAAAAAGGGTAGCATCATTATTATTATTTGAATCGGATGATTATTATTATTATTGGATTCGAATGTTATGTTTATTTTCATATTTACATTCATTCATTGAATGAAAAAACAAAAACCTAAACTTAAACAGTTCATTTACTTATGTAATCATCAAACTATAAGGTAGACAAATTATCAATGTCGTTCAGACATATAACGGTGACAATCTTTCCACCATTATTATTATCATTAATTTTTTTGATTGTTTGAAGAAAAGAATAATTATATCCTGTTTTTGGTTGGTCAGTTGGTCATCCAGAAGTCACTGGAATGGGGATGGCACCATTTTGTTTGAATAATAATAATAATAATAATAATCCATTGAATGACGGTTGACATTTAGCTTTAATCTGACCATTGTTTGTTCGTCAGGTTTGAAAAAAGTATGTAATATTTTTTCAAGGTTTTCGGGTATAACAAAAAGATCATGGTAAACGATGATGATCATTATCATTTACAATAATCTTTTGCTCAAAAACTTACACAATCACCGTCATTATATTTAACTTGTTGTAGGTCAGTTCAGTTCTTCATCTCATTTCCAATGTCAATCATTCATATCACTCATTTCAGTTTAGTCAGTTTAGTTTTCATTTTCTCAATCTCCTTTCCTGCTTGATTGGCTAGAAGAATAGAAAGGAAATGAACAAACGAAGAAATGAGAATAGAAAACATAAAATATAATTAATTAAAGAAAAAGGCAAAACAAAACTTAATGCAATTTTCTTTTTCTTCAAGGAGAGAGAGATTGAGTAAAAGATCGATTTGTCATTCGAAGTAAACGAAATTCTCTTGCCAACAATGGTGATCATAAACAATTAACTAAGCCGAAAATGTCTAAATTCCGAAATGGATGTCGGATGATAATGAAATGAATGAATGAAGAAAAAAACTGGACTAATCGAATCCACCACCACCACCATTCACCATTCACCATTTGTCTCTTGACCAATATATTTCAAGCAAAACAACGAAAAAGCTTAGGTTTGTGAATTAATGAATCAATGTTTTGTTGTTGCCTGTTCTGTTCATTTCTTTGTTCTTTTTTTCATTTTTTCTTTTTGTTCATCTTCATTTCCATTGATTTAGATAGGAAAGGAGTGCCCCTCTTGTGTGTGATTATCATAGATTCAAATATGATTATCGGCTTTAAGAGATAGTGCCATCATGATGATTTTTTCATTTATTCATTCATTCATTTTATTCAATCAGGTTAGTGGAATATCCCCGTATAGTTATGTGAAGGTCATAATAAAAAAGGAATTTGCAATGATGAATGCCGCCGCCGCCGTTGGTAATTAGAGCACCACACATTCTTTTTGATCATTTTCACACACTAACCGAGTTTATAATCAGAAAAAAACAATTGTTATATCATCATCGTTTTGTTTGCTAATTAGCACATTTTTTCAAATAAAGATGACCCAAACAACAACAAAATCAATCAAAATCAAATTTCCAACCAACAATGATGATGACAAAATCCAAAGAATATTATCCATTTTTCTCTCATGATAATGATCGATAATGAATGTTAGAAACAAATTGGAGCAAAAAGATGAACAAAAACATATAACAATAGAAAATTCATGGCAATCAAAATGTCTTATTGTTATTGTTGTATGGATTGTAGTATTAGATAATGATAATGATAATAATGATTCTACCCTAGTCACATTTCCTATCCACCTACACAAACATCACTTCAATATGGATAACATCAATAATGATCCATTTCTAATGATCCTTATCCATCAGATTCTAACATTCAATCATCACTAAACACAAAACCGAAAACATGCACATAGATTTTCTTTTCTCAGAACATCATGACCATCATGATCATCATTATCAAAATATGTTTTTTGTTGTGTGTTCGACATTTAATAATGATGATGATCATCATAATGGATAATGTGGGATTAATTCGTGTGTGTTGGTGGATGCGGATGCGAATGACAAAATGATGATGATAATGATTATTTGACAAACAA